CTTTAAAAAATAACACCCAACATAAAACAAATCAAAACAATTTGAAAACAACATGCACAAACCAATTCATAATATATATTTTATAGATTACAGAAGCTAATTATCAATGAGACATAAATTCAGTTTATTGACATGAATGACAATCAATCGCTTTAATCGTATAATTTAAATATCGATTTATGTCAGCACTCGTGGTACAGTGGTATCAAGCATAGACTGAAGACTGTCATGATTAACAATGAAATATGCGCGAGTTCGAACCCTTAGTATGAAACTCGTTTTTGAGAGGATAAAAGAGCTTAAGTTCAAAGTTAAAAGTTATAATATAAGTCATCTTAAGTTCACACAGTGGTCAGTGGATTCTTAAAAATTAGAATATAGCAAAGTGCTCTCGACCAATGAAAGTGTAGAATTTGGTGTTTCTTAATTGTGAGGAATGAATGTAAATCATGTTCTTAGTAAGGGATTATCCTTTTGTTTAGGCCTATTTACAGTTCAAAACAAAGAATTTTTATAAAATGAGTTACAACTGCCTGAAGCACAATATAAGGATTATTGATTGAAAGTTGAATTTTGAAACAAACAAAAATGATCAAAATAAGTTTGAAGTTTACTTGTGTAGTACAATTGATACCGTTTGTGTTATTATGTGAATATTTATAATTTCAAATTACAAGAAAAAAATATAAATAATATCGAGAAGAGAAACAAAAACAATAACAAAAACTTAAAAATTCAAATTGAATATAACCTAAATCTTTAGCTTCATGTATTACGCTAATCAAAACTCAGATTACGGTATTTGCAGTTAGTAAGAATTTTGAATTTCCCATAAAAAGCAATTTCATTTAACATTTAAATTTTAGTTAATTAAGTAGTAATCAATGTAAAGAGCTTGAATATGATTTTGAATAAATCAAAGTGAACTGTAAATAAACAAAAAGATAACTTCTCACTAAAATATTACATAATTTACACTCATACTCACAAGTAGGAAACTTATACAATTTCTACAATTTCATTGTAACGTTGTGTCATCTAATGTCTAAAAACACAATTTATCAAAATTTCCCAAATCAAAAGTAAGTCCTTACACCACTAAGACCAATACATAAATGAAATGCATAAAAGGGAAGTCATCCATTAATTATAAACATTGCATTGACAATGAAAAAAATTCTTGAATAAAACCAATCAAGAGATCATTTGAACCTTGAGCACTCTACAATATTCTAAGTTTGTAAGAGAATGATAATCCCTTTCGTCATGATAAGTACTCCCTACCGCACGTACTTAATCATGAAGAAAAGGATTATCATTCTCTTACATATACATAATCTACAGTTAGAATAATAGACTGACGTCAGAGAAATGGGTTAATACAGTGGGCACAATGAGGATTACCTGTCAAAACAGATTTTGGTTTAATAGATGTGACTTTAAAGCCACAACTTGATCCCTCAGAACATTACCTGTGATAGTTCCGAGTAATAATTCTCATAAATGGTTGGTTGAACCTTTTTGTACTTTACACTGTTCGAAATGTCTATTATTTTATAAGCCATACATGAATATTTTAGGTCAACAAATAAAAAAAGTTCTTGTTTGCGAGTTTTGAAAAATATCTTAAATGGTCGAAGTCTGAAAATTGTTTGGAAACAGCCGCTTCATTAATCTGGAAGTTTGTCGGGCATCCCAATACCGAATTTGACATCACTGTCTGCTTTAACATGTAAATAACATAAAATAAGCCTACTTTACGTATTTCCTTTTTCAAACTTTTTCCATTTGATTAAGTATTCCCATTAAAAAAGTCTACAGGCTCTTCAAATGAATAAATGAAAATAATCTAGAGATTTCAATCTTGAATGGCGAAATCGATGTGAAGGTCGTTGAAAAATTGGACCAATCGGACCTACAAATGCGTTATATTACGAAGCTTCTGTCTGTCATGTTCATTGTTCTTAACCTCATTTTCATGAATCACCGTCTTCTTAAAAATACTGTATAATTATTTTTTTTTCATGTGAATTTCTTACTTATTATATATATGAGTAATATGATAACTATATTTGGTATATGGAATCTTTGTTAGTTCTGCATGTCCGCCAGACAGGGATAACCTCACCTCGGCCTCATTGCATAGATCTTAAATCAAGGTTAAGCATTCCTGGTCAAGGCGGTATCACAAATACTATTGGCAGTAGGTCAACTATTTTTTTGGAGCGTGTAATGGTGTACATGGCTGTCTGGCAGGTTTCATCGGACATTGACATCCTGTTCATGCTTCATTGATTAATGTCAAGTTTTTTTTATGTTTAAGTCACTTTCTCAGATACTATAAGCAAAATTTTAACTACATGTGTGTATGGAATGATTGTTAGGTGTACAAGTCTGTATTACAAGGTTCATCTGACATTGACCTCATGTTCATGGTTCATTGGGCAATGTTAAGTTTTCATGATACGGTCTGTTTCTCAGACTCAATAAGGTCAACTATGTTTTGTATATTAAATAATAAAATATGTTCATGTCTGTCATGCAGGTTCGCCTGACCTTGACATTATTTTCATGGTCCAAACGTCAGGCGTTATATTTTTTATGATTAAATCTGTTGTTTCTCAGATACCATAATCAATAGACTTAATATTTATGATGTATAAAAATAAATGATTGCAGGGTGCATATGTCTGTCTGCCAGGGTTCATCTACCCTTGATCTCACTTTCATTGTTCATTGGCCAAAGATTAGATTTTTTGGTTGTGTCTGCTTCTCAGATACTATAAGCAAATGTAACTTGCTACATTTGGTGTATGGAATGATTGTAAGGTATACATGCCAATCTGACTGGGCTCTTATGGAAGATATCAAATTACGCATCATATAGATGACCTGGTCTTTGAATGGCTTCGGGTTCCGTTTTGTTCCCCAGATCCACGCCAGCTTAAACTGGTCTATGTGATCAGGTGATGGTAAATATATGTTATCAGTCACTGGTATGACATTGCATAAGAGCAAAATTAATTAAGTTAGAAATAATATGCAATAGAGGGGCAGCCTTTGAATTTATAAAAAGTGTTTAATCCTTTATTCTAATCCTTAAAATGACACTGCTACGCAACGGTCAGTTGTTCTTACCTGAGACTTAAAAGATCTGATTTTAATAAAGGTGATCGATCAATCTGATTATTATTAGTCCCTTTACCATGTGAACTTACGCACTTTAATGGTTAGGACCTTTACTTAAATAAGTAAAAATACTTCTGCATGTCAGTAACTGCTACTAGTCCTTTGTTAATCTATGTATCATTGTCATTTTGCTTAGTTTCTTTTGTTACCTATTCTGACATCAGACTCGAACTTCTTTAAACTGAGTTAACTGTGCGCATTGCTGTGTGTTTGTTTATTCTTTATTGGCTAGAGGTATAGCGAGAGGGTTGAAATCTCACAAACATGTTTAATCTCGCCGCATGTTTGCGCTTGTTCCAAGTCAGGAGCCTCTGGCCTTTGTTAGTCTTGTATGGTTTTTTTTAATTTTAGTTCATTTATATGTTTGGAGTTTAATGTGCATGTTCATTGAATTAGTACACATTTTTGTTTAGTGACCAGCTGAAGCCCGCCTCTGGGTGCGGGATTTTTTCGCTGTGTTGTAGACCATTGGCGGCCTTCGGCTGTTTGGTCGGTTTGTTGTCTCTTTGACACATTCCCCATTTCCATTCTCAATTTTATACTGCATATGCTTTTGTTTAAGGAAAAAAACACTAATATATGAAAATTATTGTTCGTTCGCATTGTATGTTTTAGACTGAGTGACAATGTTTTATTTGTCCCTCAAATATTTAATTGTTGAATACATTTGACAATAGGTTACTTTCAAAGTTATATTCATTTGTAATATACAATGTATTAAATATATGGTGTCCACACAATGACACCGAAATATGTTTGCACTTTACGAATACTTTTCAATTTCCAGTTAGTGACAAACCTGTAACTTTTGTAGTTGTTTTTCTTGCATTAATTGGCTTATTTTTAACACTCAGGTTTGTTCCAGAATCATTCTTAAGGTAGATTGGGAGTCTAAATTATAATCCATAATTTTTTTTAATAATTTGCCAAAATGTAGTTTATTTCATGCTTTTTAAAAGAAAATAAAAAAAAGAATGGGTCACGGGGCTTATTTTCACGCTACAGGTTGTGCAAAATTGACAGATTTTTGTATAGATTATGCATGCAAAATCCAATTTTCTGCCATAAAAGGAAAACTACACCATAGAATTTTGAGATAAAATATGAGAAGATAGCTCTTATATTATGTTTTAAGAAAAAGAAAAAATGGGGTCACGGGACCCGTTTTCTTGCTACATAATAAAATAGGTAAATTCCTAACACATTCTATTGTAAAAGTAACTTTATCTGAATTATCTGCCCTTAGTTTTGAGTTGCCTCCCCTTATGTTAAACAAAGTTGGAAAAAAATGAATCAAACAAAAGTGTTCTGTTTTTTTTGTAAAATACAACCATAAATATGATAAAACATGTCATTTTCTATCTTGAAATGAAAATCCTCACACATGAATTACCGACTACTCTCAAAATTTGCACATTTTATTAAAGATCTAGACCGATTGTTTTCTGGAATTTGAAAATGCAAGATGGAGGAAGACACCCTATCTACCATAAACATGTTTTAACTTCTTTGTTTGAAGGAATGAGAAGTTTTCAATGAAAACATTTTTGAGCATAACAGTCAGTTTCTGGTTTTCATCTTAATTGTATCATCCGACTCCACCCTTTACATAATGGAATTAGGGCCAGTGTATATAAAGTGCGGATTTTGAAATATTTGTTAGTCTTGTATGTTTTTTTTTAATTTTAGTTCATTTTATATGTTTCGGAGTTTAGTGTGACGTTTATTTTCACTGAACTAGTACACATTTTTGTTTAGGGGCCAGCTGAACCCCGCCTCCGGGTGCGTGATTTTCTCGCTATGTTGAAGACCCGTTGGTGACTTGGGCTGTTTTCTGCTCTTTGGTCGGCTTGTCATTTGACACATTCCCATTTGCATTCTCAATTTTATCTGAAATACCATTTCCACTGTATATGTTATACATTTCTAATGTAGAATGATAAATAAACAGACGCAGAATTTATGATTTTGGAATAAAATGATAGATAATTTATCAAATGGATTGCTTGTCATATAGGCAAGAGATGCAGACGGGTTTATATCGCACATACAGCTTTCAAGGTGTGAAAGTATTAAACAAATATTACTGCTTCCTGACAGCATTGTTTATTTTCTATAAAACAGCAACACCCATTATTAATTTAAACAACAACAAAAATCATTAAACATACGGTCACATTTAGTTTTCGAGTCAACATGCCATGCTTTTATTTATAGTTATTTTATATTTGTGTTACACAGAAGTTTTGTTTCGCAAGTAATTTATACACAAGTCTATTTAAAATAGTCACAACTTATAAGAAACGTTATATTACATTTATTCATGTTTAAAGACCAATCTCCTTATTTCGTCATGTTTCTTTGTCTTAAAATTTCTAGTGTTTTGTTTAGTACCGTTCACTGCAAATCCTTGTGCTGTTTTTGACAAATCAAAACCGATAAATATGGAAAAGAAATGTGTATTTTACTTTTTGTATAATCAAGTACTACAAATTTTTAAGAAAATCGCCGTAAAAATACGTTGCACTCATAGATCTTCTACACCTGAATATTTTCGAATCCCTGACACACTAATAGCAAACTCAGGACGATGTGTCGTATATAATGATAACCGTTGTGTGACCTTTATTTCGAGATCAAAATACTAGCATTTTAGAGTTATTTTTGCGAAATCTCTAAGAAACTGGGTTGCAAATCAGGTGCTCCGGATGAGTGGACACCACTTGGTCCCACATTAAACATACACAAAATTTACTATAGGTGCTTTAATTTTCAATATGAAATGTTAGAAATGTCAAATAGTTAAGTCGTTACACAAAATATAGATCGGTATTTCAAAGAAGACAACATATGTTCTTCTCGATATGTTTTAGCAACGAAGGGTACAGTACTGTTACAAAAACGAGCAACGAACGGTAACGTATAAACAATTTCATAAACTGATGACTTTTTTAAAAAATCATAATAATTACAATGAACTAGGTATGATGTGTATATTCTGGAGGAAAATATGCTCACTAACCTGCATATATATCAGCTGTTATCTAAGGTTATCTAATGTTTGCATTTTTGAAGCTTTTTTAGCGAGTTTTTGTGAACGATGTTTGTAAACTTACGCACTTTTATCATTCAGTAAGTACAGTGCGAGTTAAAATTCGAATTATTTAATTAATATTGATGATTTTACATGCATGCAATGTGTATGATATAATTTTGAAAAAAAATTGTGTACATAACTGAATATTTTTTATATCATATATCGGCTTCTCTCAGCTTGTTCTGTATCGCTTAAAAACGCACAACGTCCGCAATCAACTGTACGGTGATTGATATAAAAATACAATGTGGTATAATTGTCAATGAGACAACTCTGCACAAGAGACATAATGACACAGAAATTAACACATATAGGTCACCATACGGCCTTCAACAATAAGTAAAAAGCATACCTCATGGTCAGCTATAAAAGGCCCGAAAAGACAAATGTAAGATAATTCAAACAAGAAAACTAATGGCCTTATTAAGCATTTACGATAAATTTGGATTTTTTAATTGTTAATCATCAATGATTAAGGTCAAAATAAATCGCTTTCAATAGATTTATTCTAGATTCTGTTGTTTTAATAATATATGTTTTGGACTTTAAACATATGACTGTACATTGCAAAGTCATATTCTAATGAAATTGTGTTAAACAGGACATTCAAATCAATTACTTTTTTCAAAACGTAAACAAACACAGTTTTTCCCATCGTCCTTCATTATACTATCGTGATACTCGCATATGAGAGTTAAAAAGAAATATCTGGATTCGAACTTTATTTACACTGAGGGCTAATTTGAGCAAAGTTTGTTAGTTCTAAGCTCCGCTGATAGGACTTCTCAGCGACAGAGGAAGATGGATCTGGGCTCAAACTAAATTTTGAGGTGTTAACAAAGTCATTTTAGTCAACGGGTTGATACGAACTTTAAAGATCATGATGTAGATTGCATTGATATTGTAAAAGTTTTTCTCCATTGCTAACCTAGAAATCTGAATTTTCAACGTATCCCGATTGTTTACATTGAGACGAGGTCGAGGCTTTGGCTATGATCTCTTATGTCACAATTCGTTTGTTTACTTTTTAAATAACCATACACTCATTTGTGAGACGCTTGTCAAAATATTTAGTGTATAATACCTTAGTAGGAATAATGTTAACGCTTTATTTGTTTTCAATACTTCCATTTAAGACTTGTTTACAAATCAGATGGGCATTTAATTTGATGGACATATAATTGTTGAAATACTATAGCATTTTATGTAAATATTTAAAAGCGTATGAGCAATAACGTTTACTTAGAACTTTCAACTTAACGTTTACATTTTTAAATTAGCAGTAACACATTAAAGGTAAGTCTAATCATTCTTGATAGTAAGAACATATAAATGATATTGTTGTGTTAAGTGGTGTAGTACATTGAACATGCATATACCCTTAAGGTTTATCGGGACCTCCAGGATAAAATGGTCGCGTTTACACCACTAAATTTACTATGAGTGCAGACCAACATCTGCATCTGGAATCTGGAACTCAAAAGTTTATCTATTTTATCATCTTATTCAGGAGCGAAAGAAAGTGCACTGCAAAATCCAGTTAAGTTTAAAATTTTGTGGAGCATAAAATGCATTTGAATTTTATATATATACGTCATGCCGTGCCTTTAATAATGTCCAGATACAGTGTTTCGTCTGCGCTCAGAATTAACTTTTGTGGTGTAAACACGGCCATTTCAGCATTAAGGTCAAGCTATGCTATCTGCAGACACATTTAATAATGAGTAAATAATGTATAGATGTTTAAGGTACCGAGGCCAGTACTCGTCGCTGTTATATATTTACGTATTGAATATGAACCCTGCGTTACATGTAAGGTTTTGAAGATTTATTAATTGGTTTTTGTTTGCCTAACGTCTAGTGGCAAATAGTTGATGCATATTCAATACCATTTTTGCTCAGAAATGTGTCTAAAAATCGGTATATCAAAATTTGTAACCACTACATGACAATGGTTACCCTGCTATATGCATGTGACAATTTTTTGGCATTCCTGCCTCAAAGTACAGAGTTTTGTTACCTTCTCTTTTGAATTGTTTTACAATTAATTTTTTCATGGTTTCGCTTTAAATAAATAGAAGCTGCAAATTGATTGGTTACATTGGTAACATAGGTTACATTTTTCTTTTAATATTTATGACAAGTTGTTTTTTCTCTCTCCAAAATAGGCTTCATTCACCAATACAGTTGCATGGTTATAATGGTTACACTAAGGTAACATTTGGTTTCATTGTAAATAGATAGAATCTTCAAATAGCTGGGTTACATTGCTTACAGTCTTTTTTTTCTATTATTTGAACTACTTTTTTTCAACACAGTCGTCATTGCCAGGTCCAGTTACAGGGTTTCTATTGTGACATTAAAAACACAGTAAATATGTTTTAATATAAAAGATTTGTAATAGTATAGGTTTATGCATTTTAGTTATAACTATAGAAATATTATAGAATGAAACAATTACATCGGATACTTAAATAAATACAATAAGAAAATATGTTAAGGGTCGAAAATAAGTTCGAATCTAAGAGAAGAAAAGAACGTGTAAATATTATTTCATAAAAAGCTAGTTGTTAGATAAAAAAAAAAAGAAGACATGTAAATAAGTTTGAGTTCTTTAGATAATAGACAATGCAAAATGTAAATAGTATTACAAAAACTTTTAGCACAAATTATAGTGCTAAATAAATAAAATGTAAATGAACGCTTTATTTTTATGTGCCAATATGAATGCAATGTAGATTTTAATATAAATGTTAAAGTATGAGCGGTTACATATCAGCATTTACGGTGCATACATTTTGTATAAGATATGTGTAATGCGAATCATTTTACCAGATACAAGCTTCAATATTTACAATGTATCAAACTAAATCAAGACAAAAAACTTTGAGGAATATACATGTATGCTGAGTGGAATAGGCACACACGAGACGATGATATACACAATAATACAACATCTCTTTAACACAATAGTACCACATAAATCTGTTTGCACAGCTACCTATATAAAAAAATGCATACATAATAAATCTAAATAGGATGCAGATGCTGGAATTTCAATTGTGACAAAGGGAGACAATCCAGATAAACACCAAACTAAAAAGGCAAACAACACATTTATACAAACCTCTAATCATTTATTTATATATTATAATAGCTACATTGTACAAAGCAGGGTCTGTTCATTGCTGGATGTTCATTGTTACATATGATTGTGTTGTACTAATTGTGATAAATAGTATCAGATTTTTACATGTATGAACATTTTCAATTATACTTTTTCAAAAAATTAACTATGGTGTTTACATACTATTTTGCTAGCTCAGTAAATGTGATAAATGATTTTTATATAGATGAACTATACAACTGTCACAATTTAGTCAAATCTAGGTGATAAAATCTTTTATTTATCTTTATTACAAATTCTATTTTACACATGATAAAATGTAGATACAAACAAAGAGAGGCAACTCTTATCCTCCTACTTTTCCATGTACAACCCTTACATTATCAAACCAATAATTAATTAGATACTTTCATCTTTATTTTCACATTATCAAACACAACTAATATATTGAAACTATCTAAAAAGATTGAACAATCTAAAAAGATTTAAGCCTCAGATATAATACGGATTAATATGATTTTGAAATTTATTCATATAATATTTCGTACATAAATGACAATGCATCATAAGCCTCTAAAGGCTGGTTGGTATAATATACATGTTTATTGACTGCATATGTTTAAAATTTTAATATATTGTATTTCTTGTACATGTACCAAGTTGTACTTTAAAATAAAAATATCTATCTATCTATAGTTTTTAACTGGAAAATGGCACAAGAATAGCTTGCTAGACACTTAGGAAATTAAACCTTTGAATAAGATCAAAAAAAATAAATCTTGTGTAGGTATGTTAATCCTAGCAAACAAAGAAACTGTTCTCATTCTTTGTCTTCAAGTAATAAGCGAGATAATCTGTTTACAGATTATTGAGAAATAAAAGACAAATAGAAATCGGGTCAGTGTCCAGTTATTGACCAACAAAATTTAATAAGGAAGGTCACTAAATTTCAATTCAGAAAAAAGCAGAAGTTCGTAATTCCAAAGATCATGTGATAAAAATTTGAAATAACCAAATTAAAGGTTTAGCGTTATTCGATCTTTGGACCGGCAACGGTTACAGAAATAAAGACTTATTTTAAAAGAACTTCTGTCTATTTTAGATGCGTTAATATAGGTTTTAAATTTTAGTTATTAGTAATATTTTACTTAAAGCAAGGAAGAAATATTTATTTGAATTAAATTACAAAATAAGTAAAAACAAATTAAATGTTTAAGATCTAAAAGTATATATGATGCAAAATTGTTTTGTGAAGAAAATCTAATTCATTTTATATTGTTAGCTTATTTAAAAGTATCTAAAAATTGAAGTAGCTTGTACGTCTGATTTAAAAGTAAAAGTTGAAGAATTAATATACTAATTAAGGGAATTTATAGATTCCGGAACGTTACTTAGGTTATAGGTTATATTTAAAATTATCTCACTCAAGGGAGATAACTCATATTTACTAAATTTTAGACCATGCCGTCTTCATTATTTGGAAACAAAGTTTTTAGGCATAACTATTTATTGTTGTACAAGTTTTATTAACAGTGACAACAGAGATATGGAAACTATGGAAAGAGGTATTTTGTTTGTATCTTTTTTAAGTAGAATATTAATCGTAAAAATGATTTTTAACAAGAAATGTATTTTGTACTGATGAATATGTATGTATTTCATTTTAGCAGGTCTCACACACAATGTATTTTTAATCGTTGTTTTAGAAGAATTAATTTGAAGTTAAACAATTCAAGTAAAGATAAGCTAGACTTTCATTTAATGAATATAATGTTTGAAAGTGATTAATTTGTTCTAGGCTTTAAGATTTTATTTAAATAGCACTTATATACCTTTATTGCCGGAATTTTATCTAAATGATCATGAAGTTAGTATATTTATAAGCAAAGAAAGCCCTTGAGCTAGATCCCCCTTATTTAAATAGGTTATTAGAAATATAGAGTAGGCCCCATGAATAGTTTTTTTTATTTTACTCAAATGTCTAATTTGTGTGAGACTGCAATATTATATAATTGTAAATATTATTATGGTTGATTATTGTTTTATAAATTGTATGTATGTGGTCATTCGATCTTTGGAGTTACAGAAATAAAGACTTATTTCAAAAAGAACTTCTTTCTATTTTAGAAAGCTGAAAAACATCTCCCCATTCAGCATAACAGATTTAAATAGTTACACTATAGTAACACTTGCTTACTCTTAAAATTAGAATTTGGAAATTGCTTAAGTACATTTTTCGACTTTTTTTTAAAAATCGTACAGGAGAACCTAGTTGGATTTAAATTCGGATACTCGAGCAACGACCACATTTTCTCTGCATGTATTGTTTCAATCATTATTGAAATTTACTGTGCGTTTGTAGATTTTGAAAAATACCTTTGTCTTTTTACATATAAACTCTTTACGTTAAGTGGTAAATATTTTATGCATGTCCAGGACAAAAACAAATTAATAATAAATACAATAGATAGGTCCAGCGGTGTGAATTGACCAAGTTGATAAGAGGAAAATGTGGAATGCCACTAGAAAATGAGGGTACATTGGATAGGGATAGAAATTTAGCCTTGCAACAGGTAATCTACAAACCCCCTTTAAGAGTTGTTGCAAGGGTTCTTAGCGTGCAGTGAGCATATATATATATAGCACTCCCACTACACGAGGCATTAGATTTAACGCCCTTATTATGACTGGAAGTGACTGTGAATTTATTCACTTGCACAACCAAACGGACGCCCACTTTGGCAAGGGTTTTATTGCCGGTCGGAAGAAGACCTATGATGACCATCATTCTATACCCCAGTCACCCTGGGATCTTCTTTTATGGTTGAAAATATATGTATTAGGATACAAAGTCTCGCATAGTACATAAGAATCAAAAGTCTTTTTACTTGTGATATAGGATTAAAGCAAGGATAAAATCTCTCTCTTATATTGTTTTTTTTTATATTCAAAAGATTGTTTTCTTAAAAAATGGGAAACGGATACAAGTTCCTGTTATATGTCATGAACATTCTTACTTTGTGAAGAATCATACTGATTATATAAAAAAAAAGATACACAGAAGATGATGTCACAAAAATGCTGGACTTTTCAATCGACAACTTATTTCATGAGTTTGGTCGATTGATATTTCATTAGGTATTCCAATAGGTACTAATTGTGCGACTCGAATGGCCGACTTGTATGTTGGAACTCATATGAAGCAGAATTCATACGGAACCTTCTCAAAGACAAAAAGAGAATGCATGTTATTAAGTTCTTTAATTTCACTTTCAGATATATTGATGATGATGTTCTGTCCCTTAATAACTCACATTTCAATGAGTGCTTACATCTCATGAACATGAGATTACGAATACTAACGAAGAAGAAGGTTTGCTTCTTAAATTGATCTTTTCCACAAAATTAACACAGATGGATTACTTTAAACTAGAATCTATTACAAACTAAAATGCGTAGTTCAAACTGAAAGAGATATAGTTCAGATACTGCAGGTTGTTCTCGCGAAAGATCATCTGTTTTACATGTAAGCCAATGGAGCAGTCACGACTACATCCTGGATATGGATTTTTCTTCAAATGTTCACTGCAAGGAGGTCGCTCACGTGAATTTTTGTTTGCTAAGAATGACAAAACATCATAATTTAAGTTCTTTTTGAGAAATAAAACTCATTCGGTATCAAGTTACATTGAAAAAATGAAATTCTGCCACAATTATGATTTTTTTTATGTAAGACACCATAGAAAATTTCAATTTAAATCTCATATTTTAGTCACCGTCATTGTTTCCAATAGTATTCGCGAAAAATCTTGCCCATGATTTAATAGATCAAGGTTTTTTTTAGTATGAAAAAGGGTAGCTTTATTCACTTGTTGGTAAACTGACAATATGATTTGAACATATATATATTACAGAGTTTAAAATCCACGATGAATTTACTGATAACAATTTTTTATATGCACCGTGTACCTTTACAAAATATAACAGATTAGAGCTGTTTTTCGTCAACTGGAATCCAATTGTTGATAAAAACATTTATTGTTCATTAAAAATTGCAGATCACGTTATAAAATCAAAACTTAAGCTTTCATGAATAACATATACATTAAACAATCCAAAGATATAAAACAAATAGTTCAAATCGACAAAATTATCTTTAATGAAGACACGAGCCTTTCACTCATTGATTTTTGTAGATGTACACGTAGCTGCTGTATTATCATATACTACAACAAAACATGAATAGGATGCAAATTTTGTTGTGCTGTGCTTGTTGCAACAAAAACAAATACAATATGTACATTAAACTGAGTAATTAATCAAAACTAAATGTTCTTTTGACAGATTAACTCCAAGCCGAAGTTTGAAAAATGAAAATGAAAAATAGTGGATATGTAGTAATAGTGATACTGCTGGTATCTTTTTTCAGAGAAAGTTACTCGGTATCATATACGAATTTTGACGCGTTCTTCAAAAACATTACCGGTGGTAAAAACATAAATTTGCGGCCAGTCCTTGACCATAAATCGAAAGTGAACATATATATGTATTTTCATTTAATATATATCCAGGAATTTAATGAAGTTGAAGGAAAACTAAGTTTAACTGGATACTTTAGTATAAACTGGGTTGATCAGACTATATCTTGGAATAGCACAGAAAACGAAATCGAAGAAGTTACTCTCGAAGAACATATAATTTGGAAACCAGCTTTTATTATTGGAAATTCATATGACGGTGTAAAATTTGTTCATAAAGACGATACGGTGATGAGAGTACATAGTAATGGGGTTGTTACGTGGACCCCTGGAGATAACTATGACGTAGTCTGTAATGCAGACGTTTCGAGGTATCCATTTGATACGCAGATCTGCAAACTTCAGATATTACCATGGGGATATACCAGTGAGGAAATTCTTGTTGTACCGATTTACGATTATGTTGTGCAATTGTTGTTCAATCCACAAAAAACATGGGAATTTATTGGATCAAGTGTTGCAAAAAATGAAGACCTTCAACTCCTAGAATTTTCAATGAAACTAAAACGCAATCCCATGTTTTTCGTTCTTAATCTTATTCTCCCCATTTGTGTGATGATTATTTTAAACATTTTTGTGTTTCTACTTCCACCAGAAAGCGGAGAAAGAGTTGGATATGCTGTAACTGTTCTCCTGGCAATCGCAGTCTTCTTGACTATTTCATCTGATAATCTGCCAGCAACTTCAAGTCCACGAATATCTTCCATATCTCTTCTTCTATTTGCCGATGTTTGCATTAGTGCTGTCATCGTATTGATGGTCATTTTAAGCTTACGATATTATCATCGAGAGGATAATTATCCGGTGTCTACGTTTATGCGGGGATTTGTAAATGTTTCAAGATTACTACGCTGTAAGGTGTGCTGTTGTAGGGGAAAACAAGAAAAATATAATGAAGATGATATTAAATGGACCGATGTCGGAAAGGAGATTGACATTGTATGTGGTATATTTATTACTGTGGTAATTTGTATTGTCAATGCTTTGTATATCATAGATGTGACCGTGGGATTACCGGGTTTGGATTAATAGTATCATTTGTTATATAATTTGAATTCAATATAATCTCCAAAAATGGGAGAAGGACTGATATGAAAAAAATGTTCAATTCTATGTCTTTTTTTTTTACAATTGAACATCTCTAAAAGACATTGACATCCAAGTACTTTCATCGTCTGTTTTATAATGATTATCTTATACAAAAAATATATTTTGATATATTATTCTAATCAAAATTCAATATACATTTAAACCTAAGAACAAAGCCTCTGTTGATACGATATCCCAGAGCTTGCATTTCCTATCATGATGTCTTTCATAAAGTTTGCTGCTAACAAGAAAGCCGTTTTACAAAGTACTCAAATTGTGCTGTTAAATTGAAGTCATCCCTGCGATAACTTTACGGACTCTATCAAGTTTGTTGACGTTATGGATGTCTGTTTCACAGATGACGGCGGACATTTTCAAATTGGCATAACCCCAATCCCGTCCTTTTCGCCTCGAATATGACATCACTGAATTAGACTTATCACGGAATTTGTATCACGACGGTGCCACATGTGGTGCAGGATATGCTTATCCTTCAAAATCACCCCTTATTTTTTATGGGATTGGTGTTGCTCCGTCTTTGGTTTCTATGTAGTGTTTGGTGAATGTGACCTTATGGGTTTACAGAGAAATTTCCGTATTTTAGCGACATTGGGGATTCAAAAAGTCTAAAATGAACAAAAGTCAATTTCAATTTGTTATTAGAAATTAATCGATTAAGAAAATGAACATCATAGTAATATTCCTAGTTTTCAGATGAAAAGATTCATTCGACTTCGGTTAAAATTAGTATTATAAACGGTTAACATGTTCATCCACTAACCGTCGAAAGGACCGAATACCACAAACGTTAACCAGTCAATTGAACCTTTTTCAATTTTAATAGATTTGATGTAATATGTATTTAAATAATAGATAACATTGTTAAATTTCAAAAGGATCATGAGGGTACTTAATGAAATCAATGATCTAGTATATTAATTGCTTTATTAACAAAGAAAACATTCTAGTCTTTCATTAACAACTAGTGTATAAGTTTGGATAAATTTAGATGGATTTGGATATTTTTGGATCTTCACTAATTTGATAAGGCTAGTGTTTCTATACTGACATATGGGTATGAAATATGGGGATTCGAGAATTCAGATGGTCTTAAGAGAGTTCATTTGCGTTTTTGAAAGCATACATATCAATCACGTTTAACTTGAAAAAATCAACCCGGAATTTATGATTTAATATATAACTTTTTAAAACTTCAACCAGGAATTTTATGATTTATAAGGAATTGGGAAAATACCCTATTTCAAATACCGTCACGTTTGATTAATGTCTAGCATCGCTTACCAGAAGGAAAAAAGAGCAAAATATCAGGTTTATTATACGCTGCTATATGTAAATCTCAATACATATGGTTATGATAGTAAATGGTAATCCTATACATCTTTCCAGAAATTTATTTCAGGAATCATGCATTTTACTCTAAAATTACAGTTTGAAGAAGTTATTCCCTTGCCGGGAAGAAATACTGCTTCGCGACAATGAAGCTCAATGATGAATTAACGATTAGCGGATTTTTATCCCTGTTGATTTAAAGATATAATATTTGGTCAAATATAAAGATTATCAATTATGGTCTTTAATCTTCCAACATACTTGTAATCAGCTCAATTATAAAGCTGAAAATGTGTGTTACTTAAAGATATACATAGCTGTCTAATTTACTTCTCACCATAGCTCCGAACTGCAGCGAACCAGTATTGATACCATTATTCTTCTCAACAAGGGAAATAAATCGTATTCAATTGTAATTTCAAAATCAAATTCGGGCTTGCGGAAGTCAATTTCTATAAAGTTTTATATAAAGAAAATGTTTGATGACATTGGAATGTCAAATATATGGAAAAGTCAAAATTTATTTCAAAAACATTGGGTTGTATTAAGTGTTCAGCAAGAACTTAGAGACTCAAGAATGGTCAACAGAAATGAACAACTCACCAAAGAGGCTGAAATATTGATTATATAAAATATATGTTTTTAATTTGAACGCTAATCATCAGTGTTACCACTTTATTCATTTATCACCTTATGTAAATTTAAATTCTCCCTCGCCCGAATTTAAAGTATTTCTACTCTAAATTCAATTGGCTATAAACAAGACAAACGCAGAAATAGTATTAGTTACTCGCAGTAACATATTATTTTCTTTTGCGATACAATATTTTATTTTCAAACCGCCAAAACTTTTCTCGTGCCTTATGCACATAACATCAAACTTTATAAATAGTAAGTACATTTTCAGAGCTAGTATCAGAACTAGTTATACTAGTTCCCATCTATATATAAGTACTACAAATAGCAAACGGGAAAAACCCCAATTTCAAACGAAATAAAATATATTTATATATGGAAATAACCGTTTGTCTATTGAGACGGGAAGGTGGCACAACATACCAAGATCTGATAAAGTATATCACCTTTGCGATTCAGCTGATATCGGTGACGAACACCATTATAAAAAAAATTATTATGTCATGTGATTTTTTCAAAGATGAAAAAAAAACAAATACTTACAACAATATTGAAATAATAATGTAAATGTAATTAAATTCAAACAAGCATTTTCAATACGAAATTGTGTTTCTGTGTAGGTTTATTATGGTCTTTCCTTTTCCAAAATTGAAAGACCTTACTGTATTTCTTCTGATTATTATACTTTTTGTTCCACCAAACTTTGACAAAATTTCACTCCGTAACGGTAGGACATGTCGTGTTCACACTTTTGATCGGTATCACATATACCTATCCGGAACTCACCCTGTGAGTCGTAAAACTTTGTCGGTCCGGAGTTATCTGCCCCAAAATTAAAATCTTGTTACATATATGGGATGAACACCGTAACAGTAATAGGTAGAAAAAAATCGAAGGGTGAATTTGTTCAGGACCATACCCTGGTTCTTTATTACATTGGGATCGAAAAGATCGAAAGACTCATTGGTAGGGTTATGACCCTTTGGAAATTAATCGATGTCAAATGGCTAAGAATCTTCACCAATGATTATCAATTCATATGACCTTGAAAATGCCTTTAGGTCAAATATGTACGTTGACCTTGACCTTTGACAATGTTATTGGATAATATCAGTAACTTTATAATTACAGAAGTCTTGAATAGTGGAAAATGTTTAAGTCATTAAGACGCAACATTGTTACATTATGACCGAAGATATTTGATTTTTCCGTATGGGGCATAACCGCCGTTAACGTTGTGTGTGTAGTCCAAATTAGTTTTGACTCTTAACCCAAAGGTCCTAGACCCATCGAGTCTTTGCAATGACATCGGGGACCAATGGCCTTGACAAAGGCCATCAGGTCAATGGTCATGTCCGGGATAGGGAATTGTGTGTTGTTGACCCTATTTGAAGGGTATTATATTTGTTTCAAAGCTTTTTTGTTGACCTTGACCTTTGACCTTACACCTTGTTATGGGATATTTCAGAATTAAACCATTATAATTATAGAAGTCTTGAATAGTGGAAAATGTTTGGGTCATTAAGGTGCAACATTTTGATCGAATAGATTTTACCTGTCCGTAAGGGGCATAACCCCCGTAGATGGGTTCTGAAAAGTAAAAAAGGAAAAATTCTTAAACCAAAGGTCCTGTACAGCTGGGTCTTTTGCATTGACATCAAGGACCAATGACCTTGACAAAACTCATAAGGTCAAAGGTCAAGATCATGTCCCAAATAGCGAATTATGTGTTTTAACCCCTAAATTATTATTTTATATGTGTTTTAAAGCTTTGCAATGCATTCTACGTCTATTTAAACATATATTTTACATTATGAAAAGGGTAGACCTCTCAAACGATCAATTGACCTTTTAATCAAATGTATTTCTGTGAAATTCTATCTTTCTGGTTAAAAACAACTATATTTTTATTCATCTTTTGTCCAAATATATAGTATGATAATATGTATTAGTCATTTGTATTTCACACTTGCTATATTCCATATTTGATATCATGTTATGTTATCTTCCCAGTAATTATGCGAATCATCCACATAGACAACTATTCACCAGAGACTATGTGAGGTCACGTACGGCCTTCATCAATGAGCAAAACCCATATTGAAAGCTATAAAAGTCAACGACATTAAAGAATATAAAACAAAAAGACCTGATATACAATGATATATGTAGAAAACAATAAAAAAAAGAAATATGACAAACAGCAACCAACAACAACCATCGAAATACAGGTATCTCACTTGGGGTAGGTATATACAGAATGTGATCGTGTTATGTATGTTTGCGAGTGCACCGTCTTCCCCTTAACCAGGAGAACACAATGTAAAAATCAGTCGATAAAGGTTGGACTCGTCAAATCGACACAAAGCACGAAAAAAAAACTAACAAACACTTAAAACAGAAGGTACCAATCTAAGAGTACTCCAAGCTACTTCAAGCTACTTCAAGCTACTTCAAGCTAATTATAGTTAATGAATAAATCATGCTAACCAGACTACAAATCTCAATCAGTACATATCCAATGAATTCAATATAAAGTCTTCATAAACAGTCTGAGAAAAACATGACATTATCTAATGCCAAAATATTGGTATCGACAGGATATTGGACCGTAAATGTTCATAATTGTATCGCAATACATATTTAGTTATGCTTCGATTGAGTAATAACAAAATCAATATTAGTACCGACAAAACTATAAAATCAGATCGTATTACAGCGTTAAGTTGATAACCTTTGATAATTAGTCAGAGGATGGACAGGTTTACATGGATCTAGCAATATTGTAGCCTCTATGAATAACATTACCGTCAAAATGAAGATGTGATAACCCGTTTTCTATAGGTACATGTTTTCAAACCAAATATTTGCATTTTTGAAAGAATTTATTAAAGCTTTTAAATAATTTGTGGTAATGAAATCACCAACTTCATAATTTACCAGTGATACAAAGATTACGTTCAAAGACAATTCCAGCTAACTATCATGATTCATACCATACCTTTCTAGGATTTTCCGTTGATGAATTTAAAAATTATTAAGAAACTAACGTTCCGACTTCCTCGGTCTATGTTAATCTTACGAGTTGAATTTGGCTATTCTTTTTATGTTCATTTGTACATATATACATGTATATCAAACATACATTTCCGAGTTTTGATCAACTGTTTGCCTCTTATTTGAACCTAATATTAGTAAAAGCGAACTAGGCTTTCACTGTAACTAGTGCTTTCTTAAAATTTTAATGAAAAGTTCGATTAGATACAGAAGTATGAAAAGTTAACAAATGTGTGTCGTCAAACCTGGTTGTATCACACTACAAGCCTGGTATCGGTGGTGAGTTGTACAGCTTAAAAGTGCATTATTCCTTATGCTTTCTACTAAGTTATGAATTTAAGTTATTTAACATCCATTTGGCTTACACTTTTTTCATCCTATTTCATAAGTTCTCCTAATGAATTTTACTGTAATGTTGTTGGAAATTACGAAAGTCTTTTGCATGATATCTCTTACATAGCATCCACCAATCCTTTACCATTTAAATACCTGAAATAATGAAGTCATATTTGCCATTAAAGCTTTAGGTTTCGGCAACGTCCTGGTCTAAAAAAACAACATGTAGGAAACTCATCCTGAATTTGTGATTTATAGGACTTGAGGCTATTTTAAGAAATTGTTCAAATTCTATATAGCTAATTTAGCCAAATGAAAAATCTTTAAGAAGGACAGTGGCATTGTAATGCCTTTTTTCGTCGTTCTTTCCATATGTGTTTTATATTAAGTTATTGACATCTTCTTTAATATTTATCAGTTTATATTACATAAAGTCTTTTCTGAACCCCTGATTTTTATTGTGGAAATGATATGTCACAGTGGATTATTCATGTAAATATAATTAAATAAATAACAAATCTGAATTATCAATCGAACAACTAAATTATGCCTTTTTACACATACAGTTGTCATTTACCAGATTTTATTACACTATGGCAATCATTCAATGCTCCTTTAGTCAAAGTTTAACAAAAACAATAAGCATATCTAAAATATAAATATACCCTAGCCACCTTTAGGTTTCTAGTATAACGAATAATATAATTGCATTTATACAAACATTTTACAAGAAAAGCTGTGAAAGATGATACAAATTAGGAGCACACAGTCACATACTAATGGTACAACAGTATCCGTAAATTTGGAAGACATTAAATGACCAGGAGAAAATAGGTAAAACGAAGACAAAAGGCATTAACAACAAATCACTTTGAAAACTAAAAGTCCAGCAGTAATGAGTGTGTCTTATTTTTCGAAAGGGTCAGTTGCTGCGCAGATTAAAAGTCTCAATTATTTCACCTTGCGTCCTAAATGCGGACTAAAAAAGGCGATTTGAAAATTTAACATGATTATTGCAAGATGAAATATAAACAGTGTATTGCAAAGTGATCCATTATCTTTTTTCTACCACATTAAGTTATTTAACAACCACGTTACGCTTCCTTAAGTGATTAAACCATTTAATCAATGCATAGTGTGGCAATGTTTACATATACTATCACTAAACATTTTGCTATTATTTGGAATTGAAAATTTGACCCTACTTCAGTTTAGAAATAATTGATATTGATTATACTAGCATTAAAAAAAACAATGACATCAATTTTACAAACAAAATGCTTTTAAAAAAATTGATTGGAATCAGTGTCTCATTTCAAAGTCTTTCTAAAAAAGTATGATATTTAATTCAATCAAACGCAAATTTAACAGCAACTAAAAATAAAATAAAGAAGAATCTTAAGGGAACCAATCAGGCTTTAATAATGGATCAACCTCAATAACTAAGGTTAGGCAAGTTATAAATCAATCTATATAGACAACATAAAGTTCATCATCAATACAAAGTTCTAGGCTAACACGAAAATCCATTTATTACAAGGACATTCTAAAAAGCATGTTTAAAGTACTTTTGTTAGTATTTAATTACCCTGTCATCTCGGATCAAATTCAAACACCAAGGAGCATTACACTCGAATACATTGATTTAACTTGAACTGTATCATAAACGACTTTTATATATTATTGGTAAAATGCTTGCTGGTGCTTAGAAAACTTCAACTTCCACTGGGTTTTTAGATATAAAGACAAAACAGCTGATCTGATTTTAACATTGTAACATCAAATTTCCAAAGAGTCTTTCATCTAAGGTCTGACTATAAACAACTAATAAAGGGGTATTACACTGTTGACAGGCACATGGGTTTATTGATGGTTTAAACTTTCATATCAGAGGAATTACAAAATTGACATATCAATACGCTTCAGAAAAAAAAAACGCATTTAATCCTGTAACCTCGATATTGTGGTAAACTGCAAAAACACAAGCTCAAGTAAAACAATGACAAACAAAACCGTATTGCAGTAACTAAAAGCAAGCCCAAAGTATACAAAAAAGATGCGAAAGATACCAAAGGGATATTCAAACTCATAAGTCGAAAACAAAATTGACAATGTCATGGCAAAAGAACGAAAAACAAAGAAAAGACAAACAACAGTTCACAATACACAACAATGTCATAGCTTAAACCCGAAAATCGGCGAAAAGAAAAATAACTACACAAAACACATCATGGAAAACTAAAGATTGAGCAACCTGCTGCCGCTTGAAATCATGCGATCTACACTCTAATAGAATCAGTTGTACTTTGAAAAGTATTGCGTCCAGCAACACCATAAACAGTGCTCGAAGATAAGATTTGCAAAGGCCACATGGTAAACTCATAGTTTAAATGCAGAAAAAAATAATAAGCAAATCATATCATTTTCTAAATACCAAAGCTTGGTATGCAATACCACTGTGAATAAATTTTCTACAGGTTGAAGCCTGTTCTACAATATTAAAATCACCAACTGTGTTTTTTTTATCAATTTATGATATCTCACTCCCTGTTTTAAATTCCGGTAATGAAAATATTTACTTTCATTGAAATCTGAGAGATACAAGTAGATCATACATTTGGCGAATTTGTAGGGCTAATCACATATCTGTATTGCTAATCACAATCGTTATTCTCAGCTCGGGGCATTTTACCTATTAGGTTATACTTTTGTATCATATTTCTAATCAGGATGAAAATGAAACACAAATAAAATAAAGTATATCCGAGAATTAAAAAAAAAACAACCTCACCTGTATCTACTGCTGTTTTCGAAATCATGTAAAATAAGGTTAAATTCATAATTAATAGTATTAGATACCCTAATAATGATTGAGGCCAAGTTTGGTTTTATTTGGCCCAGTAGTTAAATTAAAAGCAGGTCATCCCATTGTAGTCTTAAAATAGTTACTGAAGACCCCTTATCATTATTCAAATTAGTTTTCAAGTTGTGACCATTTGAAATTGTTTTTTTTTATAATTTTCCTTAGACTTCTATAGTAAACCCCTATGTTCTATTTCTAGCCATGGCGGCCATGTTGGTTGGATGACAGGGTCATCGGATATATTTTTCAATCAAGATCCCCTTTGGAAAATTGTGGCTAAGTTTATTTCTATTTGGCCCAGTAGATTAAGTGGAGAAGATTTTTGTAAAAGATTACAAAAATTTACGGAAAAAAGACTATAAAGGGCAATAACTCCTTAAGAGGTCAAATGACAATTTTGGTCATGTTGACTTATTTGTGGATCTTACAATGCTGAACATTATTACTGTTTTTATTTCTATCTATAATAATATTTAAGATAATAACCAAAAACTGCAAAATTTCCTTAAAATTACGAATTCAGGGGCAGCAACCCAACAACGGTTTGTCTGATTTGTCTGACAATTTCAGGGCGGATAGATCTCAACCTGATAAACACTTTATCCCCATGTCAGATTTTGTGTAAATGCTTTAGTTTCAGAGATATAAGCAAAAAACTGCATTTTACCCCTATGTTCTATTTCAAGCCATGTTGGCCATGTTGGTTGGCAGGAGGGGTCATCGGACACTTTTTTTGAAACTAGATACCCTAATCACGATTGTGGCCAAGTTTGGTTAAATTTGGCTCATTAGTTTCAGAAGAGAAGATTTTTGTAAAAGATAACAAAAATTTACGAAAAATGGTTAAAACTTGACTATAAAGGGCAATAACTCCATAAGGGGTCAATTGACAATTTTAGTCATGTTGACTTATTTGTAGATCTTACTTTTTTGCTGAACATAATTGCTGTTTACAGTTTATTTCCATCTATAATAATATTCAAAATAATAACCAATAACTGCAAAATTTCCTTAAAATTACCAGTACAGGGGCAGCAACCCAACAACGGGTTGTCTGATTCGTCTGAAAATATCAGTGCGGATAGATCTCAACCTGATAAACAATTTTACTCCATGTCAGATTTGCTCTAAATGCTTTAGTTTCAGAGATATTAGCCAAAAACTGCATTTTACCCCTATGTTCTATTTTTAGCCATGGCGGCCATGTTGGTTGCCAAGCGGGGTCACCGGACACATTTTTGAAACAAAATACCCTCATGATGATTGTTGCCAAGTTTGGTTAAATTTGGCCTAGTAGTTTCAGAGGAGAAGACTTTTGTAAAAGTTAACGGACGACGACGACGACGGACGACGACGACGACGACGACGGACGACGACGACGACGGACGACGGACGCCAAGTGATGAGAAAAGCTCACTTGGCCCATTGGGCCAGGTGAGCTAAACAACTGATACATTCTTAGTACTAAGTGTCTTTTTGCTTGTAGGGATGTATAGGTAAGTATCCACGTCCACTTTGTTTTTGTTAGATGTATTTCTATTTGTATTCATCTGATGAGTTAAGCCTTTAAAGTTTGCTCTTACATTGTACTGTTACCCCACTGTCCCAGGATAGGATGAGGGTTGGCGCCTTCAAACGGATTTAACCCCACCACATTCTGTATGTGCCTGTCCCAAGTCAGAAGCCTGTAATTCAGTGATTGTCGTTTGTTGCTGTGTAACATATTTGTTTTTCGATCATTATTTTGTACATAAATTAGGCCGTTAGTTTTCTCGTTTGAATTGTTTTACATTTGTCATTCCGTGGTCTTTTATATCTGACTATGCGGTATGGGTTTTTATCGTTGTTGAAGGCCGTATTGTGACCTATAGTTGTTAATTTCTGTGTCATTTGGTCTGTTGTGGAGAGTTGTCTCATTGGCAATCATACCACATCTTCTTTTTATATTAGAGAAAAAAAATGTAAAACTGTGTGACTTTTTTGAATGTATGGTTTTCAAAGCTCTTCGTTTTTGTATTGGATATGGACTTCCAACTGTTTTGATTAGAGCAAAACTGATGAATCTTGTGTAGACGAAACGCGTGTCTGGAATACCAAATTATAAGCATGACTAATTAAGTGTGTTCTTGCATTAAATGCATGGGAGAGGCACTTTTTGAAGACGAAAAAAAAAATACGACTAAAGTTGATCGTAAGTCATGAACAATTTCGGTATACTTACGATCGACTTTAGTCGTAAGTTTTTTTGTGAAACTTATCACTGATTTATTCCTTTTAACATCCAGTACAAATCATATTTCAAATATTTACTAGTCAGATCTGCGCTAGGAGAATCCTGGATTGTACTAGAATAATGGGATAATTACTAAAATACACAATAAATCAAATATTTGTCTTTCTGTATAATGAAAATAGAAAAGAGGTAGGGCCAATTTTCTATAATAGTAAATCAAAGGATATGGGTATTCAACCATGACACAAAATCAGTACATGCACAGGAAAAAACACTCAAAAAGCAAAGGAACAGAGTTGTCTTCAACACGAAGCATAAAAAAACAAAAAAACGCTCACCTCACTGCAAGTTTAAGACGGCCCCTAGCACTTATGAATTTATTTCAAAGTAGAGCTTTTTTTCAAAACGTCCTTCAATCTTCTCTACAATTCACATACCGTGATGATGTAAGTTCATATGAGGTACTTAAAGGTTTTAACAACACTTTAGTGTATATGTATATCAGAACATTTGATCAAATTATAGATACCTAAATATGTCTAAACACTTCAATTTTGGCAAATTTTGAGAAATTATAAGGACATTCTTTACCAAAACCAAAATTTTTATCGGAAGTATTCTAAATTATCATGATAGAAGTTAATTGATCTATGCTAATGATATCTTTCGATACCAAAGGAGTAGGCCCGGTAAGACCCAAAAATACCAAAGGAGTAGGCCCGGTAAGACCCAAAATATAGCATTTTTACCAATATGTTAAAACGTAAACTTTCAGCTATTTATTAGAAAGTAGAATACTTCTGTTCCATAGATATGGGCTGTTTTGACTATACAATGCACATGCAGCAGGTAATAGCATCATAAATTCGTACAATATTACTGAAATCTTCACAATTTTAGCATTTGTGCTAATTTTAAGACGGTTTTTATCTAAAATGGAAGTGGCCGCATTTGTGTTCAGTCTTAATATTTAAACATATGTTGTATTTGATGATGATACATAGCATATGTAAAGGTTGAGACTGAACACAAATGCAGCCACTTCCACTTTAGACAAAAACCATCTGAAAAATGACGTTTTATGGCATATTTGATAGATTTTGCATATTTAAGCGTGAATTTGAGCTTCTCTAATGACCAAATCAGTTCAAATCTTTTACTTAAACTAATTGAATCGACTGAAGTAGACACTTAAGTGTTTAAAAAATGTCAAAAATCTTTCATTAGATGAATTTTGAATATTAGGCCAAAACTAGCCCTTACCGGACCTTCTCCTTTAACAAAAACATGTTGAATTTTCAATGTTTCAAATTAATATTCAGAAGACAGTAGTGTTAATTTACGCGAAATGTGTTTCTCTTAATTCTGTTCATTTTGTAAAGTTAAAACTGGTTGTCATCAACGATATATTAGCAATTTCATTATAAACAAAAGAATAAAAGTATTGAAAGTGGAATTATATTATCATGTGTTAGGTCTTTCTACTTATAACTATCAAGTGTATCTGTAAAAGTTATAAATAATAAATAATGAAAAAGAATTCAGTAGAATTCAAAATTATACTAGCTTTAAACGTGCAGACATTTTATAAGTTCAGGTATTTCACATCCAATCTGGTATGGTAATATTCTATACAAAGCACAAACATGTTGTCATCCACCTCAAAAGCTAACCAAACCTTCAAACACACTTATTCAGAAGGAATATAGTTACGATACTGTTGTCAGGTAATTAAAGATGGCATTTTTTGGAATTAATATTGATTCACTCATAGGGTCATATATATATGCATCGGAAATAAACACATTTATTCTAAAACCAGTTGTTTGCATGATATGGGTTATGTTCTTCTCGTACTAGTATATCTTATGATGGTATGATACTTAACCCCTAACGCGAGAGATTGTGCTTGATTTTTATATGATGGAGACATAATCTTTCAATCAGTTTAATTGAGGTCTGGAGCTGGCATGTCAGTAACTGCTAGTAGTCCTTTGTTAATTTATGTATCATTGTCATTTTGCTTAGTTTTATCTGTTACCTATTCTAAAATCGAACTCAGACTTCTTTTAAGGTGGTACCTAACACTACAGGGAGATAACTCTGTAAAAATCAGCTAAACGTTTTAATTACGTTGTATTGTTAAGGAAATATTAAGCTTCTCAATGATCAAAATTAGTGTTTGTCAAACTGCTATATAACCAACGAAATTTTTCTGATAAAGTGGTTGGTTCAAATTTTTTTGAAATTTTTATATTTTTGTCAAAGGGTCAAAGTAAACATTTTGTCAAAATTTTATGAAAATTAAACGAGCCAAATTAATATTAGTCAAGGTGTTGGGTACCACCTTAAACTGAGTTTTACTGTGTGTATTGCTGTGTGTTTGTTTGTTTTACATGGACTAGAGGTATAGGTTAGGGTTGAGATCTCACAAAACATGTTTACCCCCGCCGTATTTATGCGCCTGTCCCAAGTCAGGAGCCTCTAGCCTTTATTAGTCTTGTATATTTTTTTTAATTTTAGTTTATTTATATGTTTCGGAGTTTAGTGTGACGTCCGTTTTCGCTGAACTAGTACACATTTTTGTTTAGGGGTCAGCTGAAGCCCACCTCTTGGTGCGTCATTTTCTCGCTGTGTTGAAGACCCATTGTGGCCTTGGGCTGTATTTTGCTCTTTTGTCGGGTTGTTGCCTCTTTGACACATTCCCCATTTCCATTCTTAATTTTATTTGATTTTAGTAATTTCCTGAATCCTCACTAGAAATTTAGTACAATCCAGAATCCTCCTAGACTAAGCACATATCTTGATATCCCCATTTCCACTAGTAGATATTTGAATTTCAATTCGTACTAGGAGGATTCTGGATCCTATCGCATTCCAATTTGTACTGTAACTTGTATATTCGTACGAAACAAAATTCCGTAAAAGTACACAATGTTCCGAATCCGTTTTCCTATTACATTTTGTGTTTATACTTTTGTTGTTTACCTAGCAACGAAGTATAATTATATAAAAATAATTAATAAACATTACCATTTAAAGAACAAAACATTTTCTATGTATTCTTAATTTCTCATTCAGTTAAAAAAATACTTCACTGTTGCCTTTTAATCTACATTTTTAAAGGTATTATAAACTGATTACATATTGTATTGATCACATCGAGCGAGTTCATTATTTAGAACGACATGATCAGAGTTTAATTGCGAAAGAAATTGTACTATAAAGAAGTCTGATCATGTCAAGATCTGTAACTGTAAGTAACTGTATTTTACTTATTCAAGTAGATTTACATTATAACAAAAATCTACAAAATTACTACATGTATAACTACAAGCTGGGACATAATGTTTAATCGCATCCCTGCTAACATGTTGCAAGCAATAGTTTTGATTTGAATAATGTAGGATAATGGCGGTGCAAATTCAATATAATACACGAAAATGGAATATGATTTCACTGTATATTTATGAAGTTAGGAGTGAAACATTTTATTTAGTTACAATGACAAATGTTTAAAAGCAACATTTCTTTATCTAACTGTAGAATCATCGTTTAAAAATTTCTAAGTTGTTTTATTCTTTCTACAACATGTAACAAATGAGTTTATTTTGCGAAGCAAGCTGTAGTCACCACACACACACACACACACACTGAAAAACGTCTTTCATGACCAAACTCCCATTCTTGCATGTTGATCAAGAGATAGATTGCCAAGTTGAATGGCTATTTAATGTCCAGCGGTAAATACTACATGCATATTCAGATTCTAATTTGTGGTAATGTAAATTATTAAGACGGATCCAGCTTTGTACTAGACCGACACGTAAAATGGGATCTTCAGCGCGTTAACCCACTGTCAACGTATATTTGTTCCGCCTAACAGAAGTTCCACTGGAAACTTTGTTATAAACAATGTCATAATATCTTTTCCTGTTGGAACAAGTATTCTATACCATTTATTCCGTTAGGAACATATACTGTAATATTTATTCCTTTGGAAATAATATTCCAGAACATTTTTTCCTTTTGGAACTTATATTATAAAGGAACTTCTATTCCGTGACACTACAAGGTAACAATCCAAGGAAAATATGTCACCCTGCCTTGACACATTATTCGGACTCCAAATTTATAAAATTACCCGTCTTTGCTCTTACTTCTAAATGCCATGCTAGGTTACTTTAAAGTGTCAAATGTTATAGGCTTCATATGAACCCTTTTTAATTATCTTGTTTTGAATATAAAACCTCGAATGAGATATAACACTTAATTTGATCTATTGACCCCAAGATTAATGTTCGTTGTTCATATTTACATAGCAATTAGCTGTTACAATAGGACTAATTAACGAAAACTATTACTCGATATTTTGAATGTTAATAAAAGAGAGACGAAAGATACCAAAGGGACATTCAAACTCATATGTCGAAAATAAATTGACAACGCCATGGCTAAAATAGAAAAAGACCAACAGAAAAACAATAGTACACAAAACACAACATAGAAAACTAAAGACTGAGCATCACGAACCCCACCAAAAACTAAGGGTGATCTCAGGTGCTCCGGAAGGGTAAGCAGATCCTTCTCCACATGTGGCACCCGTCGTGTTGCTCATGTAAATACAAACCCGGTAATAAGTCTAATTCTGAGGGTCACATTCTGGAAAAGGGGACGGGATTGTAGTTACGACATTAAGAACATATCCGCTATCATCTGTGAAACTGATATTCCATAACGGTCAACCAACTCGTGATGGCGTCCGTAAAATTTACGAAGGGATGATTTCAACTTCACCACTTGGAACTAATGGTTTGATAGCTTCCTTGTGAGCAGCAACCCTCTATCAAGGAAATCATGATAGGAAACACAAGCCCTGGAGTATCGTATCAACTGGGAGATATGTACTCCGTATGCAGGCGCTGCTGGAATGTTGCTACATAAAAATGGAAAGTTCACTTGGGAAGCTGAAATCATCTCTTTTGTCATAAAGTTTTGTTTTCAACCGACCCTCATTATCAATTTCTAGATGTAAGTCAAGATATGAGGCAGACTTAACTGTATCTGTTGTATCCTTTATCTCAAGTTCGATGGGATAGATGCGTTCAACATAGTCACCAAATTTTGAATTATTTAGTGAGAGAACATCATCTTTGTAGCGGAAAGTAAAGTTAAAGGATACTGCTAACTTCTTTTCTTTCTTCCTAAGAAGTTCCTGTATGAAGTCAGCCTAGTATGAATAAAGGAACAAGTCGGCAAGAAGAGGGGCACAGTTGGTTACCATGGGAATGCCGATTGTTTGTTGAAAAACACGTCCTCCAAACGTAACAAATATGTTGTCAATCGAGAAATCAAGCATCTTGATAATGTCAGTTTCAGAGAACTTTTTGTTAGAATCAGAGTGATTTTTTACAAAGTAGGATTTATTCCTCCCTAAGACAAGATACTAGTATCTACGTTGGCCATTCTTTTTTTATGAAACAAAGCAGGACCAACTCTTTCAATTTGTCTTTTAGTTTGGAACGGGGAATACTTGTGTAAAGTGTAGAAAAGTCAAATGTTTTAATACTATTGAAAGATGAAAGAGTCTTAGATTGTATGTACTCTGAAATATCTTTGGAATTTTTTAGTATCCACATCCGATTCACGCCACCTCTAGAATAGGTAGTTTCACAATAACTTTTTCCAATACAGTGATGGAATATCCAGTTCTTCATCTTTGGTTGAAATTCCAAAGGAAAATAGAACAGACCTATGATTATCCAGGATTTCCTCTTTAGTAAGTGTCGTGGAGGTATATGTTGAGTTTCCAAGTGAATTGTCAATACCTAATTCATTTATCAAGCAGTTTATGTAATGTGATTTACACACAAAAACGATGTTGTTTGGTGCTTTATCTGCGGGGACAACAACATATTTGTCATGGAGGTAGGACAAGTGTTTAGCAACATTTGGGTCTTTAAAGATTGATGTAGCATTCAGTTTCTTAATTCTGATTGGTATTAACGACCTCACAGCCTTACACCATTCGGAAAGAGTATCTACGTCTTCTTTCTCGCGTTTAGCATACCATTAACGGTACCAATTTTTCTGCGCCAGATGCACATTTCGACAGTATATGTCTGTTCAGTGATGCTAGAGGCCAAAATATTTGAAAATACAAAGCTTATTTAAAAACTGGATATTTCTTGATTTAGACAAGTTTTGCTCTTTGAAGTCTTTCAAGCTACTGTAACAGTTTGGTACCATAAAAAGTTACGATATAAGAAATAATTCCTTCATGTCATGCTCTATGCTCATTTTAACATGGGTAGGCATTATATTTGTCAGTATTTTACACTGAGCGTTAGAGCATGACATGAAGGAATTATTTCTATTCTAATAGGACAAATACAGTATTTTTTTATAAGTCAAAGCATACGAAAATACCTTAGAAATGTTTGGCTGTTCCCGTTTCCTCCCCGTGCAGTATGTACATTACAGTTTCATATTTTATAAGTATAAAAACTAATAGCAGGGTACATTTATGTTGTTTATGTAAGCAGCTAAAATGTATATATTTTATTCGGATAAAAATGAAAATAACGAGAATGTAAACAGTAAGTTTGTGCACATGTGCCAAACATATTTTGTGCTAATTAGAACACGGCTTGTTTACAAAGCGTAATAAGGACGTCATAGTAGAATTTTCCACTGTATTCGTGAAACTAGCTTATAATGTTATTTAACAGAACATTTTAAATTTGATGATAATTTTTCAATTAATTTGAATATGTAACAATTCCCTTTCGGTAAACATTCCTTACCTAGAGGATTTGCACATAGATGATTAAGAAATCAATTTATAGTGATAATATCCATGTGGTTAAAATTAGAGAAAAGTCAAGTAAAACATGTTCTATATAAGCCTCTCTAATAGTCAATATGTTTGCTTATCCTTTTTAGGGTCTTTGGTATTACAAAATGTAGAATTTTTAAAAGAAGTTTTTTACATTACTATTTGAAGAAACGGGACTTTCCTCCCTCTTGTGATTTTCCCTTTCTCGTTTTTGAGAACCTAAGGTAGTAGGCGTATAGAAAATAGCTCCGTTTTAAGTAGTGAGCTACCTTGACTTCTCAACTATATTATGTAAACCTTGATGATGAGGCATCTGTTTGCCTTGCTAAACTGTGAACTCACAGGCCAAATCCGATCCGAACGTTTAACACGACGCCTCGTCATTGGTTCTTTCGTTTGAATTGTTTCACATTTTGTCATGTCGGGGCCTTTTAAAGCTGACTATACGGTATGGGTTGTGTTCATTGTTGAAGGCAACACGGTGACATATAATTGCTTCAATCTATGTTTTTTGGACTTTGGTTGATAGTTGTCCTCATCCCCGGCTACTATTGCATGATTGACAATCAGACAACTATCAACCAGAGGGGGAGCATGTAACCAACTTTAATAGGTCATCATACTGCCTTCAACAACGAACAAAACAAATACCGTTTAGTGAGCTATTACAGACCCCGGCATTACAAAAAATTGAAACGAGAAAACCAACTCCATGATTAATGCTAAAACAAATATGGCAGATATCAACCAACGACAATCACTAAATGATAGCCTGACATGTGACATGCACATAAAAATGTGTCGGCGTTAACCCTGCTTGTGAGCGCACACGATCCTCCAACCTGTGACAGTGATGAAACAGCAAAAATTGGAACAATAGACTTTTTTTCAGATGCAGTCTGAATTGCCCGCCCTCCAACCCGGTCGACCAACTTTACAGAACCTACCCATATATTTTATTGATAATTAGATCTCGTTCTCAGTCAATCTATATATATATATCAATAAATTGGTCAGCTATATATATATATACTGTCATGTTTGTAGTGATGGACTAACCAACACTGAACAAACTTATTTTAGTCAGTACATTATATATACTATGAAAATATATATTTATTTAAAGTACAATATACTTGAAGTGTTTTAAAATTGAAAAAAAAAACGTGCATATTCAACACAGTATTCTCACAGTTAGAATACAAATAATGCCAGACTATCAATGTTAAGCAGTGTATCTTCGTTTACTACAAAAGATTAATTGAAAAATGAACGTACTAATTTCTTATGAGCACTGCACTATATCATGTTGTTACTTTCTGGTTTTAAATGTATTAGGTTGTTTTAGGAATTCTTTCATGAACGGCACTGCAACTGATAAATAAGCGTGCAAGGACACATGTACTTGTATTGTCACTACAAATTAAGCTTACAAGTATACAAGAACTATCTGTCAATTTAAAAATAAAAAGATATGGTATAATTGTCAATGAGACAACTCTCCACCAGAGACCAAATGACATAGAAGTTAACAACTTTAGGTTACCGTTCGACCTTCAACAATGAGCAAAACCCATACCGCATAGTCAGCTATAAGAGGCCCCTAAATGACAAATGTAAAACAATTAAACGAGAAAAATAACGGTCTGATTTATATAAAATACATAAAATACATTTTTATGTAAAAAACAATGAACGAAATACAACTATGATATACAGCAACAAACGACAACCACTGAATTACAGGCTCCTAAGTTGGGACATGAATATACAGAATGTGGCGGGGTTTAAACATGTTAGCGGGCGCTCCCCTTCCCCCTTAACCTGAGACAGTGTTGTAACAAAACAACATACAAACAATAAACAAACTTTAAAAGTCAGTTGAAAAGGGCTTGACTCATCAGATCGATTCAAAGTAGAAAAACAAGTAACAAAAAAACAGACCGGACGTGGCAGAGTATTTATACATCCCTACAACAAAAAAAGACACGAAGTACAGATCTGAGAGTACTTGGAGTTCCTGACAGCTAGTTCAAAGCCAATAACAACTAATAAAAAATCATGTATCTAAGACTAAAGTATCAATCAGCACACATCCAATCATTGTTTTAACGCTATTAATCTAATGTATCTAGTGCATAGGGTTCAAGACATGCTATTATATTTGATCTTGGTAATTTATACATTATTTTGTAAAAAAAAGTAATCATATTTTTTTAGGATACGATATCAATTGATAGTATTAGGAATACTGAATTGCTTTAACACAAACACAACAAAACAAATGTCCTCACAAATATTGCGACCCTTGTATGCTCTAGTGAAAAGTTTATTTGACGTGGTGCTTTTTAAGGACACTGTGCATTTAATTGTCTTCTATTATCCAATGCTATGAATATTGTTTTCAACGGCAATGTGTGGAGCTAAATGGCATTTTGATTTATAGATATTGGTGAAAAAGTTTTTAAAAAATGTTTAAATATCATTTAGACTCTTTTAATATTCTTTTAAGATTCGAATTTCACTTGATTTTATCAACTTTCTTATATTGATTCTATGAGTGATTTTGGATATAGGGTTGGCGTCCATCCATGGTACAGAATCAGTACATGCACAGCAAAAAACACACAAAGCAAAGGAAAGCGCTTTTATTGCTGTTCTTTATCTCAAAGTCATAGTGAGGCCTTTAACGCGGAGCAAAAACGTCAAGCCCACCATAGATCAGTTGGATAAATGGTATAAAAAGCCATTTTATCTGATTATGTTACAGTAAAGAAATAAAACAAGCTTCATATTTCAGCAATGATAGCATAATGACGAAAGACGACGACGAAGCCAACCAGGGGCAAGGCATGCCTCCACAAGATGGCAATCCCTCTACGTCTGCCATGGTTCCAATGCCTGCGCCTACTTTACCAGAATATATAGAAGAAACTATACCACCTCCTTCTTACGAAGAAATAATGGGTCACCAAACGCAGACATCAGTTCAACAGACAGTAGCAGAACTTCCACCTTTGGCATACGTTGATATTATGCCGCGACTACTAAAAAATGGAAATATTAAAAATAAGATTGCACCAGAATTTGATAAGTTTAGGTAAGTATATTCTTTTATATTTATATTGATTAGACAACTGTTTTCATTTATCATGTTCAAGATAAAAACAGTAAAATATTTCCTGAGGGAAACAATTACTTAACACAAATCAAAGTTAAAAAAAAATTTGACATCACAACATCTTTTCTCTATTCTTGAACTTGTGGATGATTCTTTTAATTTTTTATTATCTTATTTTACCAGGACAAATGTTTTAATATCTTAATTTGTATTTTAGTTTTGTCATAGAAGCGGCGAATCAATGGTTAAGATCGAATCCTGGTTTTGCAGTGTGGAAGTGTGAGACAGTTGAAAGAAAGGTTGATGGTGGACGTGCAGGACAGCCTCCAATCATAGAGTTGGAAAAAATGACAATTCATCATTCCACATATGGTTTTAATGTATTCATACGCGGAGTAAGGTATTATGCTTACTGTTTGCATATTAAAGCATATTATATTTTTTCGTTGTGGTATGCATGTACACTGATAAGAAAATAACATGGAAGGCAACATACAACATATGCTTGCAAATCATGATGGTAATTTTCTTTCTTTCTCGAGCATTTTGCCATATCAACAATATTTCCCTAGCATGCTGTAGTATATGGATTTAACATGTACTATAATGGTGTTGATATATCTGATGGCTTACATGTAATAGCAGTTATATTACATATTTAAACACATGAGGATTATTCAATGGTGTTTTTGTTCTGGTTGTTTACTGATATATTTTTTTCAGAATGTGGCTTGTAAAGAAAACTGGACAAGGTTCGCAACAGCAGCTTGGGTTGATGAATGTTGTACCAGAAAAAAAGATAGTTGAATGGCAAACAGTTAGATCTGGAGGACTATTTATGATGGAAGACCCCATTTATCGTAACACTATAACCAGGACACATGGCTTTGTAACATACGACGGCTTGATGGAAACAATTGCTAAATTGAATTCAAAACTAAAATCGTATCCTCTGCCAGGTATAATAAAAGAATTATAATATATAGGTGTGCCACTTGTAATTGTTTTATCCTCTGTATGTTTGATCAATGGAATATTCGACCTCTGAATTTTTAACTGTTTTTGCCTCAGCCATGGTAATAGTTGATGTCAAATTACTGTTAGTCGTAAACATGTCGCTATTTGGATTAACAACTCTTATATACACGATAAATTGGATATTATTTAAATAACGGGTAAGAAATATCGAACAGGCTACGTTAAATGGGTAATCAAACATCAGATGATACTCGAATGCCATTGAGATAAGTCAAAAGCAACGAGACAAATGTGTGGACAAAGTAATTTAAAAGTCGTTTGCTTTATGTCCCGTCCAGTGGCAAATATGTCATGCATGTTCAAGACGAAAACAATTAAACAATAAATAAAATTAGATGGTCATGTAATAGGGATCGACCAGGATGATTGAATTTTTGACTGCCCCTTGAAAACAATGGTATATTGTAGAGGGGCGGAAATTTTGCCTTGCAACAGGCCAGCTACGGACCCCTCAAAGAGTTTTTGCAAGGGTTTTTAACGTACAGAGAGCATGGCACTCTCTAAATAGAAGGCATCGGATTTAACGTCCATGCATGTTTTGACCGGACGTTACTGCTAATTTATAAATCCCGCACAGACAAACGGACGCCCCCACTTTGCAAGGTTTTACTATTTCTATACCCAGTCACCCTTTAACATTTGAAACGACATCTAACTATCGGTCAACTTACTTTAAAGTAATATTTTACATCACTGCTCGGCTCTTGGTGGCTTTTAAAGTATCAAACAAATATCAATTATTTACTTTCAGGGACTGTTTTAAACGTGGAATGTGCAATGATGAAGACCTTTGAATTTGCTGACGACTTCAAAGTGGACCCTGATTCAACATGTTACACAAGTGAATCTAAAATGAAAAGACTAACACAAATATTAAGAATATTTTACATTTTAGGACCTCCAATTTGCGAGGAAATCTGTAAGTTCAAAATATTTGTTATCAGACGTGTATTTCAAACCTTATGCAGGGTTAATCTGTAAAGTTATGTCAAACAGTTAATCTGTGTAGTTATGTCGGGCAGTTCATCCATCTATCAATTCTCTAACCTAGATAAAAAATACTCTTGGCTATATCATGGCGGTCAGTTTTTATTAGTGGTGGAAGCCGAGAGAACCACCGACCTTTGGCAGGGAAACTGGCAATCCTAGTCAATTAAGACCGTAGTCAAACGGACATGCCATGAGTGGGGTTCTAACTCTCCACCTCAGTGTTGATAGGCTAATGATCATTGTAGATGAACTACTTAGATTATCGGCCGCGAAACTTGAAAGAAATCTTGATGCTAAAAATTGTGTCTCAGTAATGCGAGACATTGGGATGCTAGTCCGACGGCAGAGACGACGGCGTAAACTAATTGTATAAAGCTTTATATTTCAAAGAGTAGAAGACCTGGATGCTTCATACCTTGTATACAGTTGCATTATGTTACGAATTTTCAGTCTGTCGTATGTCCATTGTTCTTGACCTCATTAGCTCACCTTTCCAAAGGACATGTGAGCTTTTGCCATCACTTGGCGTCCGTCGTCGTCCGTCCGGTGTAACTTATTTCAAACATCTTCTCCTCTGAAACTACTGGACCAATTCCAACCAAACTTAAGCTGAATGATCCTTAGGGTATCTAGAATAAAGTTTGTGTTTTATTTTCTGTTTCGTCAAAAAACAAGGCCGCCATGGCTAAAAATAGAATATAGGGGTCAAATGCAGTTTTTGGCTTATATCACAAAAACTAAAGCATTTAGAGCAAATCTGACGGGGTAAAAATGTTCATTAGGTCAAGTTCTATCAGCCCTGAAATTTTCAGATGAATCTAACAACCCATTGTTGGGTTGCTGCCACTAAATTGGTAATTTTAAGGAAATTTTGCAGTTTTTGGTTATTATCTTGAATATTATTATAGATAAAGATAAACTGTAAACAGCAAAAATGTTCAGCAAAGCAAGATCTACAAATAAGTTGTATATATGACCAAAATTGTCAATTGACCCCTTAAGGAGTTATTGCCCTTTAAGGACAATTTTACACAATTTGTTTATCATGTTTTCTAACTTTAAAAAATCTTCTTCTCTGAAACTACTGAATTAAATTAAACCAAACTTAAGAGAATGATTCTTAGGTTATCTAGAATAAAGTTTGTGTTTTATTTTCTGTTTCCTCAGAAAACATGGCCGCCATGGCCAAAAATAGAACATAGGGTAAAATGCAGTGTTTGACTTATATCTCTAAAACTAAAGCATTTAGAGCAAATCAGACAAGAAGTTAAAGTATTCATTAGGTCAAGGTCTACCTGCCCTGAAATTATCAGCCAAATCGGGTATCTGATTTTTAGGTTATTGCCCCTGAATTGATGATTTTAATGAAATTTTGCAATTTTCGGTGATTATCTTGAATATTATTATAGATAAAGATAAACTGTAAACAGCAAAAATGTTCAGCAAAGTAAGACCTACAAATAAGTTTTTATATGATCAAAATTGTCCATTGACCCCTTAAGGAGTTATTGTCCTTTAAAGACAATTTTTCACAATTTGTTCATCTAGTTTGCTTACTTTAAAAAATCTTCTCCTTTGAAACTCCTGAATCAATTTCAGCCAAACTTGGGCTGAATGAGTTTCAGAGTATCTAGTATAAATTTTGTATTTTATTTCCGTGTACATCAAGAAACATAGCCATTATGGCTAAAATGGAACATAGGGGTAAAATGCATTTTTTTGCTTTTGAAGAAAATATGACATATACAAAGAACATTTAAATGGTTTATAAGCCACTCATTAATATATATTGAAAAGCAAAAATAATCATTGATGAAAGATTTAAGCAAAAAATTACAGGTGAGCGATTCAGGCTCTTGAGAGTCTCTTGTTTTGATGGTTCAGCAACTGCTTAAAAACACTATATTTTTTTCATATGAATTTTAGTAATAGGATTATATTTGGTATATGGGTTCCTTGCATTTTCCTTGATTATGACTGAAGTAAATCTGTTCGAGTTGAGCATTAAATTTCCTTTTTTGTTTACTATTTCATTTTTTCTGAGTAAGAATAATCATTTAGCATCCTCTCAAAATTTTAAAGATTAGTTCCTACTTTGATTTTGTCACAATGTTTTATAGGTTAGAATCAATTATTTATAAAAAGAGGGAAAGTTACCAAGGTAACCAATCACAAACCATAAGTTCAATGAAAACAGATAACAACATGACCAAAAAGAATGAAAAAATACGAAAAGACAACAGTCCACAAAACACTATACGGAAAACTAAGACTGAGCAACAAAAACCCTTATCAAATACCGTGGATGAGCTCAGGTTCTCCGGAAGCGTCGTCAGTTCTTGCTCCACTAGTGATATCCATTATGGTACTCTTGTTAAAATACACTGAGAAGATTCATATGCGGTGAATAAGCATTTTATAACAGCGGGTTGATAAAGTATCTTGTCTAAACCTCAGACATCACCAACGTAAAATAAACATACTTAGGTACATGTTAATTCTCAAAAGCTTGACCGTTAATGTTTGAAATGAAAACAGGGTTCCTCGGGACAAGTGTTAAACAAGGCTTTTACCGGAAAAGACAGCAAACACATTGAAAAATTAAATTTCACAACTGTGAAAATTTAAAGCAAAAGCAACGAAAACTCCAGTATAACAAAATTAGGGGTTAACTCTTGTGTTCCGGAAGAATAAGCAATTCATGTTTCACTTATAATATATAAAATTCAACTGCCTTTGAAAGGTTTGGACACAATTTATTATACGAGTAATGCACATATTTTTACAGGTCTCAAGGAGTTCCAACCAGAAATGACAAAACGCCCAACTGCGATGGGACAACCGGCTTTTCAATCATGGCCTGATTTGAACGGGCAACTTGGTTTTTGGCTGGCAAATACAAGTGTATGTTTCCTCTATATAAGTACAGATTTCTTAAACAAATATGTAAATAAAATTAACAAAAACTTTTCATTTTTTTTATTAATATTGGATTTTCCTCTTCTTATTTCTCAATACATATACCGAGTCTAACATGAGAAATGGATTTAAAAATTATTTACTTGAAGTTGACAACATATTTGTGGAGTGTGTCGGATTTTCTTTTTCATTAGAACCAGTATTTTTTTTTAACATTTTATTTTTTATTACTTTTCAGACCAAACCACATCGGTAATATCGTATTTGCAATCTCGTTTTTGTCGAGCCTGCGACTTTTGTCGCAGAAAGCTCGACATAGGGATAGCGATCCGGCGGCGGCGGCGGCGTTAGCTAACTTCTTAAAAGCTTTATATTTTAGAAGATGGAAGACCTGGATGCTTCATACTTTGTATATGGATGCCTCATGTTACGAAGTTTCCGTCAGTCACATGTCCAATGTCCTTGACCTCATTTTCATGGTTCAGTGACTACTTGAAAAAAAAGTTCAGATTTTTTGTAATGTTAAATTCTCTCTTATTATAAGTAATAGGATAACTATATTTGGTATGTGCGTACCTTGCAAGGTCCTCATGCCCGTCAGACAGTTTTCACTTGACCTCGACCTCATTTCATGGATCAGTGAACAAGGTTAAGTTTTCGTGGTCAAGTCCATATCTCAGATACTATAAGCAATAGGTCTAGTATATTCGGTGTATGGAAGGACTGTAAGGTGTACATGTCCAACTGGCAGGTGTCATCTGACCTTGACCTCATTTTCATGGTTCAGTGGTTATAGTTAAGTTTTTGTGTTTTGGTCTGTTTTTCTTATACTGTATGCAATAGGTCTACTATATTTGGTGTATGGAATGATTGTAAGGTGTACATGTCTAGCTGGCAGGTGTCATCTGACCTTGACCTCATTTTCATGGTTCAGTGGTCAAAGTTAAGTTTTTGAGTTTTGGTCTTTTTTTCTAATACTGCATGCAATAGGTCAGCTATATTTGGTGTATGGAATGATTGTAAGGTGTACATGTCTAGCTGGCAGGTGTCATCTTACCTTGACCTCATTTTCATGGTTCAGTGGTCAAAGTTAAGTTTTTGAGTTTTGGTCTTTTTTTCTAATACTATATGCAATAGTTCAACTATATTTGGTGTATGGAAATATTTTATGATCTATATGTCAGTCAAGCAGGTTTTATTTGACCTTGACCTCATTTTCAAGGTTCATTGCTCAGTGTTAAGTTTTTGTGTTTTCGTCTGTTTTTCTTAAACTATAAGCAATAGGTCAACTATATTTGTTGTATGGAAGAATTGTTAGCTGTACATGCCTGCCTAGCATGGTTCATCTGCCCTTGACCTCATTTTCATGGTTCATTGGTCAATGTTTAGTTTACTTGGTTAATGTTAAGTTTATGTGACAGTTGTAATAAAGCTTTATATTTAGGACTATCAACATAATATCAATGATTAGTAAAGAAGGCGAGACATTTCAGCGTGTGCACTCTTGTGTTTATGTGGGTTCGATGTCTGTCTGGATAAGACAAAAGACTTTATAATTGTTATTAACTGTTTCTCCGACGAGAACTCGGCTTTCAGAAGCAAAAAAAAAAAAAGACTGGTCTGCTCACAGTAGTAATAAAGTGTCTGATTAGAGTAATATGTCTTCATGCGGACTATGAACCTTGTAAACTAACACGTAAAAAAATCCGATCAAGTTTCTACAAACCAATTAATTTTGCATTGTTTTTAAAATTGTGTTTTTAATTTTGCTTGCTAATAAGCAACAGAGAGGTATGGCCATTTACCATTTTTTTCTCGCCTGCGACGAAAGTCGTGGAACGCGAGACATAGGAATGGCTTTCCGGCGACGGCTGCGGCGGCAGCGGTGGCGTCTACAATTATTAAGTTTTCTGCTTAAGTTAGTTCGATAGGAACTACTTGTGATAGATCATTGATACTTAATATGAAGTTGAATTACTATCAATACATATCTTTTTGACCACTTTTTTGAGGCCCTGCCTCCTAGGTCATGGTCCAGTGACTTTGAATTAATTAGCAATTTTCAATGTTAAATTTTCTGCTGAAGTCAGTTTGATAAGAACTACTTGTGACAGATCAATGATATTTTGTATAATGTTGCATTTCTATCAGTACATCTCAGTTTGTCGACCTTTTCTAGGCCCTGCCAAAAAGATCATGGTCCAGCGACTTTGAATTAATAAGCAATGTTGCTGTCCATCAGATTGTCTTTTTCTGAATTTTATGCGGACATGCGAGACATATCTCTGTTTCAACGGCTTATTGTTTCACCCACAGGGTTAAAATGTGCAAGTTGATAAAATCTAGTGGAATTTGAATTTAAAAAAGTTATTTTACATCGAAAGACATTCGACATAAATCCTAAATGTGTGCTATCTTCAGTCATTCATAATTAGGTGTCATAATTCGACATACGACAGAATGTTATACCATGGAAGTATTATATTTTACTTCCATGGTTATATCTTTATTCTCATAAAGCGAATGCATAACATCAGTAAAGAGATAAACAACATTAACTATTTACAATATATACAAAACAATTAAGGAAGAGAGGTTACACAAGTCACTAGTCAGGAGGACATATACAAACCTCAACCTTACACAAGTAGCTCTCGACCCGTAAAATTTGGTAAAATATCATATAAGTTTTTTTAAATATACTATATTCTGATATATAATAATATTAAAGGGAAATTCGGTTTGGCATTTTAAAGTTTATAATTTGATGATTGATTTTTACCTATTTTATCAGGGAATCCGAGTCGTTAATATTCAAGCATTTAGTGCAAGAATGAGCAAAGGAAGAGGTAAGTTATCATGTATCTACACATTTGTTGATTTTTGTACAATTTAGTATGTCGGTGTGCGTTCATATACACTTATGGATTAGCACAGAATAGGGATGATTACTTTATACATACAATTGAGAATGGAAACGGGGATTGTGTCAAAGAGACAAAAACCCGACAAAAGAGCAGAAAACATTCCAAGACCACCAATGGGTCTTTAACGGAGCGAGAAAATCACACACCCGGAGGCGGGCTTTAGCTGGCCCATAAACAATCATGTATACTAGTTCAGCGTAATGGACGTCACACTAAATTATGAAACATATAAATGAACCAAAGTTAAAAACATACCAGACTAACAAAGGCTAAAGGTTCCTGACTTGGGACAGGCATAGTTTGTTTTCGGTCAAACGTATTTATGAGTGAAAATATTGTTAATAATTATTTACAATCAAATTTAAATGTGGCACCAATTATAAACCAATCACAGCACGCATCAGTACTAAGTGCATAAGGTTGGGTGGTTACCGTGTTTAAAATTTGATTTTTCTGGTCTCTCATGTATACATTGTATACTTGTTTTTGGCTTCAATTATAATTATGAACGCACTGATACAGTAGCTAGACTAACTGGAACGTGACATCACAAATTCGGACCTAATCGAAGAATATTTCCCGTTGAAAAACACTCACCTGTCAAATCATTATCAGGAATTGTAACAAGCCGAAGTTGAGGTCGTGTTTGGTTTTAAAAAATATGTTGCATTAATACGTTACAAAATAAAATCATCGGTTTGAAGACGATATTTTAATTTTAAGGAAATATCAACACAGAAAATAAGATAACTAACAACAATAAGTAAGAAGAAAATACTAGAAATAATAAAAGTAAAATAGACAAAAGTTCATATATGAACTAACATACTGGTGACACAGATCTTTTGACTCACTTTAATACATCTAACAAACCATGACGGCTAACTTAAACTTAAAACCTTTAAACGGAAACATCGTTATTACGAATTCCTTCAAAAAAAATAAAGATGCTTGATTATCAAGTTACCAAGCACCTAATGTCATTTAAAGCTAGTGTTGGTGCAATGAGCATCTGAATTTTATTTTTATCATGATGCAATCAAGAATGTTTTGGGGTTGTCGATTTCGTCATAAATACTAGATATTCAACTTGTACCAAAAATGTATTTTTTGGGGTGGGGGCATGAATCAGCAATCAAGGTACTCTATTTGTCACTACCCTTAAAATGTGCGCTATATCAGATGATCCGGAAAGGTGAGCATATAGTGACTGTGATTTATATTAGGAATGTTGTCATGTATACTATTATATTATATGCAAGTATAATATTATAAATACAAAACGTTATGTCAGCGACCTGTCTTTCTGATACTTTACTATGGCAACTACACTTGATTTTATTATATATTTTTGAATAAGCTTTTTGTTTTAGTTAATTTGTTCTTTATTTATATCTGTAGAAACTGTGAATATCATGTCAGATTGCACAGATGAGGTTCAATCAAGTTTCACCACACGTGAATATGTGAAGCTCCTGCGCGTGTTCTATACGACAGGTTCCCCTATCCAGTCGCAGCCAGTTGCTAATTTTTCTAGCAGATTGTTTCTTCCAGTAAGAATCGGCAGACAGATGTTTGAAAGCATGTCTCAAACTATGTTTAGAATTGAAGCTTGGCTTCGTCTTGTAGGTAAGCCTTTTAATCGACCGTATATTTGTACCGCCTATAAGGACGCTCGCATTTTAATACAAGTATATTGTTCTTGGTCCGTTACTCCAATCGTCCGGTTGCGTCTAGCGATAATACGTTTGCTTCCAAAGATCTTAACAAAATTGGTATACAATGTTTGAATTTATATACTAGTATACAAGCTCCCTTTAGCATTAAACGGTTTTCATATGCTTTCTTCTAGAGTTATGGGTCTTTGTTCATTCAAACAACACCCGACTGTTTTATTTGTAAGAAAAGTACGAGTCCTAAATCATTAATATTACCGTTTTGGAATTGAATTTAATGGTTAAAAGTTTTCAAATCAACTTATAGAAGCAATAATTAAATGTAAACGATATTGTATACACACAGCACATCAAATAGCTATTGCACTGCATATGTCAGGTTAAACAATGAAATAAAAATTTGAAAAGGTCATTTGGGCTAAACACCAATTATACAGGAAACTGCTAACATTTTATGATAACCACCGTGACGAGCGCCTATACCGTATGAAAAGTTTTAAATCGTTCCAATTTGTCAACGGAAATAAACACAAATACGAAGAAACAGTGACGACAACTAACGAAAAGCCTAATTCAAAAAAAGACGCATACTAATAACTGTGTATTAATTAGTATTTAAATGTTGAGGACTGTATGGTACAGTAGTTATGATTTGAACTCGACAAACATTGTAGCCAACAATAAGGTATTCAAACCTTCAACGTTTGCTACCCGTATTTGTAATATACATGTATATACTGTTCGGTCCAATTCAGTAAATCAATATACTAACAGACTTGATTAATAACAGTTTTTTTTTCTGGACTATCGTATTTATCTGTTTGTTGTAGGACTTCCTATTTACAATGTTGAAACCATTCAGTACCTGTTGAAAGAGTCGAGCGTTGTTGGTGCAGAGCTTGACAAATGTACCTGGAGTGAAAATCCGACAGTTGGAAATTTCTTCGTGACAGCAATCAGGTTGGTAAATACAGTAACACTATTTAAAAGTTTGACATGTGATATTACAGTGTTACCTGTGACATATAATATACCTGTCCCCCTCTTTGAACACCATGTATAGGCTTTCAAATTGCCAATATTTATTTATAAACAAAAGCTTGATGTTTGCTCTACATTTCGAAATTTTTATCATCTGAATTTTTGAAGGAAAAAGTGATTCCAATTTGTGAAGAAAGAATATGGGAACATGATACAAACTGGCGCATGAAATATATTTATTAGGAAACTGTTGGGGATTATTTTCCTTTTAAAATCCCTAAAAGTGACAAAGAAAGAGATTAACGACATAATTAATTTTGTCATAAAAGAACCATTAATGTCGGCGGAGGACATTTTAGCGCATTGATAGAACATTTTAGCGAAAAAAATCTGACGTATAAACGCCAAAGTAGAACCCATTTTAGCGAAAATTTAAATTGTCAATGCCCATTTTAGCGCCATATTTTTAACCCATTACAATAAATAATATATAATAAATATTTTTTTTTTAATAGACTCGCAGCACAATATAAAACATAGTAGCTTAAAATTTTTCGCTAAAATGTCCTGGGCCCATTCGTGTATGGTTGCAAACGTTGTCGTGCTTTGTGCAGGTACTAACATATGAAAATAGACCGTGACACAATTATCTCAAAGGATCAATTGTCTATGCTGAAAGCTAAACGATGGTTATAATTGGTATGTTTTCAATTATCGAAAACCGATGTATTAAGTCTAAGTAAAGTACTTTGTATTACTATATTTTTTATTTTTGTCATTTCTGTTGTTTTTTATGGTCGAATGGTAATCTCGTATCAGTTTTACAAATATAATCAGAAAGAATATAAACCTTAACTTTTATTTTACAAATGTTCTATCTACATTTTTTTAAAGTATTTTCAAATGACATTGATGATGTGATGGCATTTTTGATCTAGTTTATCAACTTTTGACTCTGTCTTAATTACCCATGAACACACAATTTCGCGAAACAATTGTGTTCTCTATCGCTTTCAGTCCTCTTTGCATATACTTTGCTTGTATTTGGTTTGTAATTATAAATTGACAATAAATCCTATTGGAGTTCGGTCTGTTTTTATATTTTTGTTTACCTAAGTGGTAATTATGAAGGGGAAAACTTCGTGACATTACTGTTTATCCCTCTTTTGTCAACCCTAATTAGGTTGGTAATTGTTTAAAGTCTCTGGTTGTTTTCGTGCATTAAAGAAATTCATGAAATAGTTTTGTTTGCAGGGTTTATTTTCCATGTGCTTTTAATGAACCAGATCCAAGATTACTTCCACCCCAGCAGTATTATGATTCTGCATTCGCACCAGGAGCATCAGGGAATTGTTGCAGTATAAGCTAACCCCGTATCTTGCTTGTAGCAGTTTTGTAATGACAATCTCGTTAATCGACGTTATGCAGATGCATTTATGTACAATGCCAAATGAAATTTATATGTTTTTGTATTTTTATAAATATTTGATTGGTTGGAAGTTTAAAAAAAATCAATCATTTGGTACTGAATGAAGTTTCATATTTTGATATTTCAGGTTATTTTTTCTTATTGAAGTAACGAAACATTATTCAATCAAATATCTCGAAGTATACTTAATATTATTTTCTATCCTACATAATCTGACATTAATTTTAGAAAGTGATTAACTTTTAAAAATTGTGAAAACCAATCTTTATGTTAACGACTGTTTTCAATTTTGTCTGTCAAAAATTATCGCCAAATATTTTAAAACTATATAAGTATTTAAACTGTGACATTTAGTACAAAAATCCAGTGATGAAGACTGGTAGTGAGCATGAAGTTAAAAGTGACACCAAATCTCACTTATGACTTATCCAGAAATAGTTTTATTGTGATCCCCTGAATATATTAATTGACTTTACCAATCTTATACCTTTTTTGGTCATTCAAATGGTATAAACAATGTTTTACTGTGGTGTAAACCATAACTTTGACAAAAGTACATGCTACCAAAATTGTTCACTTAGTCTCAGATTTCTATAGAATAACAGGAACACTTTTCAAAGCACATTCATTTCAAGTTTTAACATTTTATTTTTATTAAGATGATATGTTTGTTTATATTGTCTCAGATGTTTTATGTCTAAATGACTTAACCAACAAATTTCTAATCTTCCAAACAATGCATTGGTATGGGTTTTGCTTATTGTTGAAGGCCGTACGGTGACCTATAGTTGTTACATTCTATGTCATTTGGTCTCTGGTGGAGTGTTGTCTCATTTGCAATTTTACCACATCAGTTATTTTGATATTGAAGGAGCATGTGGATTACCAAAGTTTATTACTGTTTATTACATTATTTTATTTGTTCATTGTTTTAAGGAAGTCGTACAACTTTGTTGTTATTATTGCTTTTGTTATTATTAAGTTTTTATATATTTTTAAGCGAATATAATAACTCTGATATATGAATTTATTTTTTTCCACTGCTCGATAGATACCTTTATATCTACATTATCAAATCACGATCTGTTCTCTTGTAATGTATGTATAACAAGAGACGCTTACCATGTCGACGCACTCGGTATCGCTCCTTTTGGAGTTCATGCGATTCCCTTATTAGTTACCTTGATTTGTCTCTTTTTAATCGATTGACGAGATTTGAATATCGGTAAACTACAGTCGCCCTAATCTCTTACTATGTTCTATGTATACATATTTAAATTGAAATGCAATGGTTTAGAAAACTTAGAAAAGGTGTGCCTTTATATGTCAAATCTCAGATGGAAAATAAATATTTCAAAATTCTTCATAAAATGTGTACATAAGTTTCATCTATTTTACATGTATCATAAAACAACTATTGGGTTCCTGAGAAAACTATCGTCCTTACTTCTACGAAACCTGACCATCAAAGATATTCAACTTTGGAAAAGAACAACCGTAAATTATATATAATATTATCCAAACGTGGAGTAACTGTATCTTTATATTTTCGAGAAGCAATTTGAAATAATTTCGATGAAGATTTTTTGTTATTATTTTCACTTTTAAATAAAATAATGAGATTTTATTCTTTACAAGTGCAATCTCTAAACGGTTTGTATTTATATTTATATTTTTGAATTTGTTTTAATTTTATTCTTTCACATATTACTATATCTTGGATGTACATTTTATTTAAATTTGTGTATTTACTTGTAACTTTAGTTGACTTAATCTTGTTTCAATAAAAAAAAAAGCATCTCGTTTTACATTGATTCAACATGAGCGTGGCCAAAACGCAAATTTTCATATATTTTTTTTTTTATCGAAGCTGTCCAAATTTTTAAATGTCATATCAGTATATTAATTGAACTCTTCACTCGATTGTTACACGATTTGACCAACTGTTGTTTTAGTTGGACTGAATCCCGTAGTCGATTTAGACATTTTGAGTAATATATTTTCCTGTTATGAATACATATTTGATTTCTAGGCTTTTGTTTTTGAGACATTCCTGAATAAGCCAATCGCGTTCAACTCTTCGAACCTATCAAATTTGTATAGGCATTTGCCAAGTAGTTATTCACTGGCATATTGTATTACATACATTTTTGTAACTCCCCGTGAAAATTGCTTCAAAAAAGAGATAGTCAAACTCATAAGTCACACCAAACTGACAATGTCATGACAAAAAAAACCCCGAAAAACGATGAATAGACAAACAGTGACTGTCTACAAAATACAACATAGAATAAAAACTTGAGAATGAGAAACACGAATCCCACCTAGAGACCGGGGTGTAATCTCAGGATGTTAGCAGGTACTCCGAAAGGGTAAGCAAATCCTGCTTCAAACAAAGTAATTCGATACACTTGACTTCACAGAAAAATAAATAAGATTCTTTATCATAAACAACAGCGTATCTCGTTATGACTCGTCCTTGTTTTCCCTATTGTTATTGAATAGAGGATTTTTTTCAGAGACAACTCGACTAATGCCATATATGGATCAGGTAATGTTTTTTTTAATGCATGGGTTCAAAACCGAATATTGATCGGATTATTTTGTTGCTGGTTGCACATACTCAAGTATTTGTACATCCCTGTATTAAAGTTTGAACGTTCAATATGAAACTAAATGGATACATTAAAGTGTTCATTTCATTTTACAACGTGGTTTTCTTTTGTTGTTCTGCTTATTGGATACTGTCCCTTTTTAGATTGACTGTTTTGTATTGGCGGGTATAGCCCCTGTATCAGCTATAATTTTCAGTTCTCTTTCTAATTAAAAATATAAGCTTTTAACAAATGATATCAGAAACACATGATAAAAAAAGAGTATCATAGAAAAATCATATTACAGCATTTTCTTTGATAATGCAGAAATACATACATGCAGATATAACGAGGGTTTTTTTTTCGTTTAATAACATTGCCATTTCAGTACTGTACTTCATATTAGAAAAACAATACTAAAAGTATGATACTATAATATTATTGATAGAGGTTATTATATTAGGTAAAATTTACACATTGAAAAGAAATGTATTCGAGTTATAAAAAAAAAAAGATACGCCCGTTCTTATAACCATACTGTTGCTTAATTATATCAGGATTCTGATCTTTCGAGTAGAATGTCTTCTCATTCCGCGAGGCGGTCTAATTTTCATAACTCATTTAAGCCAATAGAATCTTAGCAACAGAATATTGCATGAAACTAATAGCTTTTCAAAAATGAGGTTGTGAGTTTGAGTCCCGCTCGTTGCAGGTTCGGTCGACTCGAATCTTAATTGTCCTGGATTGTCAGTTTTCCTACCGAATGTCAGTGGTTCTCTCAGGGCACTCCGGCTTCCTTCACCAATAAAAACTAGCCGCCACGAAATAGCTAACAGTGCTGAAAGTGGCAATAAACCAAAATCGATCAATCAGTCAATCAATCTTTTTATGAATATTAGAAAATTTCACAGAGGCAGTCATCAATCTAAGATAAGTTTGTAATAAACCCAAATTAAAATGAATGGATTTTACGAGAGAGAAAAAAGATCACATTAACAACAATATCACTGAAAGAGACGACTTTTTGTTCAGTGTTGTTTTTCAAAAGGCTGCTTCATTAGACACATTGAACCAACGGTACTATGAAGAGGAAAAAAACAGCTCTTTTGAAAAAAACCATGTGTAAACATTTTTGTATTAAAAGGTACGGTAGCCGATCGATATTGAAGGTTAAGAGGGCAATACTTTTGAATTCATCAGATTAAAGAATGTGAGCATGGTTCCAATAATTGCCAGCATTTTTGTATGCGGGATTGTATAGTATTGTCTATATCTTACGTTGCTCAGTCTCAGTCTCGGTTTTCCATGCAATGTTTTGTGAACTGGTTTGTTTTTTCGTCGTCTTTCGTTTATTTCCATGTCGTTCTCTCGACTTACTAGTTTTGGATGTCCCCTTAGTATTTTCCGCTGATTTGTATTGCATATTATGTATATGCCTGTCCCTAATTATCAATCTCGTCTGTTTAAATATGGCCTATTTATTATTGTACAGGAACCTTAAGCATTTGCTAATTGCAAAAGTATTCTAATGCTAAACCACATGTCAACTCTATCTGTTTGAATTTTCTGTTTTTAGTCAAGATCTGATGATCTTTTATTATACAAAGTTCAAAGAAAACCGGGAAAAAAACTTAGTAATTAAATAGATAGAATTAGCATGAAGACATTAGGCCTTTTGAACCTCTTTTTTTATATTCCGATGTTATTAGTGATCTAATCTGTTAAGTTTTATTAATTTATGATATATTGGTAACAGCAAGTAAATTAGTTTTAGTTTTGTTTATTTCTTTTCCTGTCGGTATAACGAACAGAAAACATATTTTTTGTGCATTTTCTTTTACTTTTCTTGAAAATCAGCTTATAAGCTGTATTATTGCAGCCTTAGTTCGTGCATGAAAATCTGTTTCACGTCAAAATACAGCCCGGACCTTGTTGTCCATCTCTTGGTTGAATAATACCCTTGGTTAAATCTTTTAGCAGAGGGTTACGTAACCAAGGATTAAAACTTTTTTTTTACTCTTGGTTACGTAACTCATGGTTTAATTTTTCAATTTTTATCAAAATAAAGAATTATCAGCACTTTTCTCAGGTCTTAGAAAAACTGTTCGGTTATTGAATATGATTTCTTGTTAAAACAATATGTTTTTCATCGTCTAAGTTCATAAAATAGTACAACAACAACGCTAACGTGACAGAGAACACCTTTTGTTTGACAAGAGGCGTTGTCCTCGAAATGACTCTACTAGATTAAATATAACTTAATATTATATGCAATTTTGCTGCATGAATTTTTTTATTTACATAAAAGATACGAGAAACAGGGTGAAACCGATATGACTCAGATATTGATTGATTATTTGTATTAAGTACAAATATGAACGTTAACCTCGATGCAAAAAGGTTGAAGGACTGCAAATTTTTAAACAAAAGAATCAGTTTTGATTAATAGTCGTCATAGAAACTGACGAACAATATGTTTTACTAAACATTTAGTGATCTTTCAAATCGTTAAATAAACGGGGAATTATACTTTTGGATAACAATTTAACTTGGGTAAAATTTTAACCGAGGTCCGAAACAAGGTTTAATCTGATTCATTTAATCAAGGATTTAAAAAAGGGTTAAATTTAACTACAAGACGAAAAACAGAAAATAACCTACGGTTAATTTTAACCAAAGGTTGTATGATATATAACCCTTGTTAAAATTTAACCGAGATGAACAGCTAGGTCCTGATCTTTTTTCCTTGGTACAATAATACCGTATTCGATTTAATATCCCGAAAAAATCCTTAAACAGACAAAACAGATCTGGAAAGTATTTTCATATTAAAGCATGTTTTGTTGTGCACCCTGAAGACGCTGATATCTGTCAACAACAATCGCCTCCTCATTAAACTGAATGGTAACACTATAAAGACAGGATCCAGAACGACAAGCCCAAAACCGCCGTTGAACCTTATGAAGTATTTAATTCGAAACGATATTCTCTAGTATATATGTTTTGACGTACATTGTAATTAACATCCGAATAAATGGATCGAATGCTACATTTCGACTTGTCGTGTAAGATATATATTCTTTTGTAGTTTTGTCTCTCCGATATTTTGTTTCTTTTTCAGACCATCAAAACATCGATGGTGGTTTTAATGACATTTTTCAAACGAAATGTTTAATCTATGTCTTAATTCATTTAACAATACCATAACTTCAGTTATCGTACATACCTTTTCATATTTATGAGGTAACATTAATTTATATTTATCAAATACATTTAATGTTGAATAGCTAAAAGATAAGATATACGAAATGTTTATTTTTTCCATTTCTTCTATTCTAATTTCACAAAAAAAATTATTTGTTATGATAACAGATATAAATAAGACATACACAACCAGTGCAAGGACCATCTTAAACTTGCAGTGAGGTGACATATTTTTATTTCTTTCTTTTTTGCTCCGTGTTGATGGCCTCACTGTGACTTTGAGATGAAGAACAGCAATAAAAGCGCTGTTCCTTTGCTTTTTATGTATTTTTTGCTGTGTCCGAACTGATTTTGTGTCACGGATGTATACCCTATATCCTTTTAGAGTTGAGATGATAGTAAAATATAAGAAAACAATAGTATGGCGATATTTAGTCGTCTCTATTAAATTCCTCCACAGCTTGTCTAGACAATTGCCGATCCAGAGCTTGCGATACGTTGCAGGCGTTTGACTATCGTTCGAAATCGTCTGGGGAACTTTTAATATAAATAAGAAAATGTGGTATGAGTGCCAATGAGACAACTCTCCATCCAAGTCACAATGTGTAAAACGTAAGCAATTATAGGTCAAAGTACGGCCTTCAACACGGAGCCTTGGCTCACACCGAACAGCAAGCTATAAAGGGCCCCAAAATGACTAGTGTAAAACAATTCAAACAGAAAAACCAATGAAAAAACGAGAAACACTTATGAACCACATCAACAAACGACAACCACTGAACAACAGGCTCCTGACTTAGGACAGGTGCATACGAATGCAGCGGGTTTAAACGATTTAACAGGCGCCAACCTTCACTCTAACCTGAAACAGTAGTGTAACATTACTACATAAAAAAACACAGTATAAATTTCTAATGTCTATTTTGACTGAAATAAGTTGTTGGATTACAGTTTCGTGTGGCATTGTCACTTTATATTCCCTCTGTTAGAATGTTTCATGAATCAATTAT